CAGCCCATGATCTTGCTCTTGCCTGTAAACTGGATGATGATGGTGCTAGTGCAATGCTGAAAGAAGTTCAACCACGGGCCCAGAAAATTGCTGAACATCGGAGAAAATATGAGCGAAAACGTGAAGAGCGAGAGATCAAAGAAAGAATAGAAAGAGTTAAGAAGGCTCGAGAAGAACATGAGAGAGCCCAGAGGGAGGAAGAAGCCAGAGGACAAGCAGGAGCTCAGTTTGGCTCTTTTCCAGGTGGCTTTCCTGGAGGAATGCCTGGAATGGAAGGGGGCATGCCTGGAATGGCAGGAATGCCTGGGCTCAATGAAATTCTTAGTGATCCGGAGGTTCTTGCAGCCATGCAGGATCCAGAAGTTATGGTGGCCTTCCAGGATGTGGCCCAGAACCCAGCAAATATGTCAAAATATCAAAGCAACCCAAAGGTTATGAATCTCATCAGTAAATTGTCAGCCAAATTTGGAGGTCAAGCGTAATGCCCACCTGACAAAACCCTTACTGAAGGAAAAGCAACCTAGATCACTTAATGGCTGTCACAATAATACAAACCAGTGTACCTCTGACCTCATCAGGAGAGCTGGGGTGCTTTGAAGATAATCCCTACCCCTCTGCAGCAAATCCAGTTGAAGCATTTTACAATGGTTTGCCATTAGGGTGTTCATTCAGATAATGTTTTCCTACTAGGAATTACAAACTTAAAACACTTTTTAAACCTTAAAAATATTTAAAACTCAAGGGGGTGTTATTTCCTACATTTTTAATTACTAATCATTTAGGATTTTTTCTTTGATATTGGGCAAGGCAGATACTAAGTATGGAAAATACATAGCTGTAACGTGAGTGAAATAAAGACTAGTGGGAAATAAATAAATCTCATTTACATAGATAAAAGTTTCAGTTGAATATATGGTTACTGAGACTGAGGCATTTTGATTTGTCATTTAAAAATATTTTTTAAATGATTAATTTCAATAAAACTATTGGGAACACCAGTATTTCACTCTAACCTGGGTAGGGACTGGAAGTATTTGGTAAGGCAGCAGCAGTCTTACTATTTTATATGACATATGCCCTTATGCAGGTTGCATTTAAATCTTACACTGTGTTGAAGAGGTGATTTTTTTGTTGTTTTTTGTTATGCTGCAATGGAGTTGGATTACTTAGCTCTGTTTTTGTTCAATATATCAAATAAATGTTTCATATTATTTCCACCGTGGGGAAATAAGGGAATAGTTTTCTTTTTATATTCTATGTTTAAAATTTACCTTTCCTCATCAGAAAATGACCAACTATGTCTGCTTTCTGCTTCTTGTATTTCCCTCCTTCTTGAACTAAAGATAATCTTTTCTCACTAGTATCATCACTGCTATCATACCATAATTGTGCAAAGCATATATAATGCTGGGGTCAATTTAATATGTAATACATATCCTAGCTGTGGAATAATACCCATAAGAGCTGTAGTTCTTTCTTAGCCATGAGATTGCTTATTTAAATGTTATTAGACTTCCACTCTGGCAAAATCTTGTGATGTCAAAAAACATTGGAAGGAAGGATTCCTTTTAGTGTTTGGTGTTCTATTTAGGAAGTACCTATTGATCTTTGTATTTTGAAGAGTATATGGTTTGAGTTATTGGTAACCATACAAGGAATTAACTGCTTGATCTAACATGAATTATAAAATAGATGAGAGCCTGGTTATTCATTATGGAGTTCTTGGCACCATGAAGATTCATTATTGTATTCAGCTCTTCCTTAAATACTGCAACCATACCCCCACCTCTTTTTCCCTTTTGTCCCTGCAAAGATAAAGGAAATGATAAATTCCTTGGAATACATTTATAAAGTAGTACATTTCTAATATATTTATACAGGTTCTAACCCTTTACATGAGTAAACAGAACTGCATCTGTTACAAAAATGAGAAAAAGTCGTATGCTAATGGAGCATGCTTTTAATACCCTTGGGAAAAAACACCATTTATACTTGGATTTGGGCTTGCCGGTGTTCTTTTTTGTTGTTGTTGTTCATGTATGTTCTCAAAATCTCGTGTGTGCTGTGCTTAATTCAAGAAGAACAGTTTCTTCTTGGATTCCTGATTTGATTGACTTAATTATACATGACCTAACTATACTCGAATATTACGAATATAAATGGGTAAAAGTAAATTACTCTTCTGAAAATGTGTCCTGTGCTTTTAGACTTTAAGTTCCACAAATACAACAGATAGTCTTCATTTTCTTAGAGACCCAGTATCATTTCTAAAAATGAGAAATGTTCCTTTTTTCTGCTAATGATGCTGTAAGAAGGAAAAGAAAGTTTTCTGCTTAAAAATATATAGTTATTGGATATTTGTAGCTATGTTAAAAATAAAATATGGTTTCAACCTGAAAAAGAAACAGACATTAAGTGGGAATTTTGGGGGGAAATATGAAAGAAAATAAAGTATGTGTCCTGGCACTCTATTCTAAAAGACTCCTCCAACATATTTTCATTTCATGTTTATGAAATGTATGTGAATAAAATGGGACTGATTTATATGAAAAAAAAAATATCCAGAATAGATAAATCCAAAGACAGAAAGGAGGTTAGTGGTTGTTAGGGGTTGGAGGGAGGAAGAAATGGCGAGTAACTGCTTCATCATATGGGGTTTTATTTGGGGGTGATGAAAGTGTTTTGGTACCAGGCAGAGGTACTGATTGCACAACTTGTAAATGCACTAAACAGAACTGAATCATTAACTTTTGAATAGTTGATTTTACATTCTGTGAATTTCACTTCAACTTTTTTCCCCCACATTTTACCCCAACTTTTTAAAAAGACAAAAGACAAAATTAATAAACATAAGATTAGAAAATCCTTCCAGGTGCAGTGGCACATGCCTGTAATCCCACGGCTTAGGGGTCTGAGGCAGGATTCCAAGTTCAAAGCCAGCCTCATCAATTTAGCAAGGCCCTAAGCAACTTAATGAGACCCTGTCTCAAATTTTAAAAAAGGGCTTGGGATGTGGTCCAGTGGTTAAGCATCCCCAGATCCAATCCCCAGTGTGAAAAAAATAGAAGACACTGAACACTGGGCATCAGCAAGTCAGTAAAACTGACCTAGTTGATGAGTTCATCTTGCTAACTTCTCACTTTTCTTTTCCCAGCATAGGTTAGGGGGGAGTACTGGAGATTGAACCCAGGGACGCTTAACCACTGAGCTCCATCCCCAGCCCTTTTTTAAATTTAAGACAGGGTCTCACTAAGTTACTGAGGACCTAGCTAAATTGCTAAGGTGGGCCTCGGACTTGAAATCCTCCCGTCTCAGCCTCTCAAATCTCTAGGATAAGGGTGTTTGCCACCATGCCGGACACTTCTCAATTCAAACTCCCTTATCTCCCTGAGTGTTCTCACCCTTGCATGTACATGACGGGCAACCAAAATTTTTTTTTATATAGAATATCCTCACTAGTTAGCCATTAAGTGATTTGGCCTACCCAGGCCTAACTTATCAGCTCTGTCCCATTTATTTCTAGGATGACCCAGTGGTCTTAGAGAAACTAACTTTTTACAGTTTCAGTTTACCAGTGGTAGCTGCTATATAGTAAGAATGTCCATATGTAGCAGGATAAAACCTGTACCCTCTTCTCACCACTTTCACAGGGTCTCCTCTTTCCACCACCCCATTTAATAATCCTGGCCACACTGAGCCTGACTCTCAGGAGAAACTAGAACCAACAGAAAATTGCTAAAGCAACAGCTGCAGAGTAACAGGAATCTGTCAAGTCACCAAGTCTTGCCTGAATCTACCCTGCCATTTCCCTGCTATGCAGAGAAACCTCAGAAAGCCTGGGCCCAGGTCCATGTGCTGGTCGGATTCCTCATGGTGAAGCTGGGAAAGAGCCAGCCCTTGGTCTTCTCTGCTGGGGAGCCCCCTTCCTGGGCTGGCTTTACCACCTCTGCCTTTTTATTAAATAAGATGCAATTTCCTGGTGCCTGGGGTCCATTGGAACCTGCAGGTCATTTAGATGAGGAAGGGGCTTAGTGTGAAGCCACAGTCACTGTGGGAGTAGTAAGTGCTATGAGCAAGGTACATGCATAGTCGGTATCCAAATACAGATGTTAGCCTTTGGGGAACAAGGACCCAGACCTACCACATCTTCCCATTTTGCAGGATATGCTGAAAATCAAGAACTTTACGTGACATTTCCAAGTGCAAAAGGTTGATTTAAAAATGATATGTGGGCCAAGGATGTAGCTCAGTGGTGAAGTGTGGGCTTAGCAGGTGAAAAGCTGTGCACTTGACCTCCAACACAAAGGAAGATAGGGAGTGAGGGAAAATCATGAAAATTTACAAAGTGTGTGTCAGTTGCAATGGGTGCTTGCTTTCCAAACTTTGTCTCAAGCATTGCTCTCCTGTGGAGAAAAGAAAAATAAAACTGATGGGGTTTTCATAAGTTTCCACAGGTAAGCTAAGTTACAGATATATCCTTAAGCTCCATGAAGCTTTCCATTTCTTTCCATTTGCCTACAAAATCTGGTTTCTGGAAGACACTTTTCTAGCAGAGTGGGTCATAGGCAGCTCTCCCTACATCTGATAGCACTGTGGTCTATACAGCCAGAGGCCACACAGCACAGTTTGTTGGATCCAGTCCATTTCTCCATGGACTCTGGTGGTGGGTTGAACAACACTGTCCTTTCTGGCTGCCCCAGCAACCTGGGATAATTTCTTTATGTTTTAGTCTTCTCATCTATAACATGGGGAGATCAAGAGGATCCCACCCCCATAATGTTGTTGAAAGACTGACATAAAATATACAAGTATTAAGGCTGGGGTTGTGGCTCAGTAGTAGAGAGCTTGCCTCACATGTGTGAGGCACTGGGTTTGATTCTCAGCACTGCGTATAAATAAATGAATAAATAAAGGTCCATCAACAACTAAAAAGATTAAAAATACACACACACACACACACACACACACACACTCACTCACAAGGAACTTGGAACAGCAGCTTACATAGAGCAAGTATCAGCTTTATTTTTACCCAGGATATCCCAGCCTGCCAAAGGCCAACCTGTAAGGCCTCCAGCCAGGAGCCAAAAGCCTACTTGTGACACCAACCTATTGCTTCCAGGTACACAGGGCCATAATCAGGCAAGTCCTAGACTCACTCTTGACCCACACAAGCTTCAGGCGGATCCATGTTCATAGGGTGAAATAAAGAGAGAGCCGCACTCCTGGTCCATGGAGAACTCCCTAACTCCGTCTCCTCAGATGAACTGTGAAGTGCAGAAGCTGGTGAATGACGACAGAGCTACAAAGTAGAAACCAGATTTAGTCAGTTCTCAGATCCCTGGCCCCCTTTCTTCCTAGAACGTGGAATGCCAAGCCATTATCATAAGGGCTCAGCTACCCTAGGGGCCAAGTCATGCTTAAACCTCACCAAAGCAATGTAGTCAGAAAGGCCTGCTGTGGGTCCATCTCTCCAAATCAGTGTGCTCTTTTTGGTGGTGGTTATTCTCATTAGTTGTATGTGACAGTAGAGTGCATTTTGATATATTATACACAAATGGAGCACAACTTCTCATTCCTCTGGTTGTACAAGGTGCAGAGTCATCCACTAGAGTAATTATATAGTATATAGGGTAATATGTCTGTCTCTACTATCCTTCCCATCCCCACTGCCCCACCCCTCCCCTCTACACAAACCAAAGTTCCTTCATTCCTCCCTACCACTCGCCCCACTATGGATCAGCATCCACTTATCAGAGAAAACATTCTGCTTTTGGTTTTGGGGGATTGGCCTATTTCACTTAGCATGACATTCTTTAACTCCATCCATTTACCTGCAAATGCCATGATTTCATTCTTCTTTAAGGCTGAATAATATTCCACTGTGTAATATTGTAATAATATTCCACTTTATCCATTCATCTTGAAGGGCATCTAGTTTGATTACACAGTTTAGCTATCGTGACTTAAGCTCCTATAAACATTGATGTGGCTGTGTCACTGTAGTATGTTGATTTTAAGTCCTTTGGTATAAACCGAGGAGTGGGACAGCTGGGTCAAATGGTGGTTCTATTCCAAGTTTTCTGGGGTACCTACATACTGCTTTCCATAGCGGTTGCACCAATTTGCAGTCCCACCAGCAGTGTATGAGTGTACTTTTTTCCCCCACATCCTCGCCAACACTTATTATTGCTTGTATTCTTGATATTTGCCATTCTGACTGGAGTGATTTGCATTTATCTAATTGTTACAGAAACTCAAAAAGATGATGAACATTTTTTGTGTGTGTTTGTTGATCGATTGTATTTCTTATTCTGTGAAATGTCTGCTCAGTTCCTTGGCCCCTTATTGATTATTTTTGTTGTTGTTGTTGTTTGTTTGTTTGTTTGTTTGTTTTGCTGTTAGGTTTTCTGAGTTCTTTATATATCCTGGAAATCAGTGCTCTATCTGAGGTGCATGTGGTAAAGAGTTTCTCCCGATCTGTGGGCTCTCTCATCTTGTTATTGCATATCAGTGCTCTATCTTGAACTAGGTTATCAAGGAACTCCAGCTGAGCACCCACAGACACCATAGCAGTATTCTAGCACTGAGAATTGTGAAGAAATAAAGCTCCCTGGCTCTGCAGAAGCTTTTCATTTCCAGAGATGGCAAATATTTATTAGACTCTCGCTTTGTGCCAGGTACGGATCCAGGCACCAGGGAAAGAGCAATAAACAAAATAGATTAAGGCCCTGATTTCTGGCACACATGATGTTGAAAGATGGAGAGAGGTGGATAATTAACAAATGGCTAAGTAAATTAAATAGTGGTGTCAGGTGGTTGTAAGTAACAGAGAGAAAATAAAATCAAGAAAAGGAGTGTATGAAGGGAGGGTATGTGATATGGTATAGTCAGAAAGGGACAGGGTACTGCTGGCATGGATGCTGGCTTGAGACCCAATCAGCCCACTTTGGAGCCTCCCTGATGGCTGGGGAAAGGAGTAAAGAGGCTTCAGCAGAGGTTGGGGTAGCCTGTTAAACCAGGGAGCAGAATAGAAGACAAGAAAGAGCCTCAGGGATCTGCAGCCTGTAAGGGCCAAGTGTTCCCTTGAGTCGAAGCCGGTTCATGAGCCACAGACCTCGGCTAGCAGAAAGTTGGTGGCCAGGCAAGAAGAAAATGTGGAACTGGAGTTGAGCAAATGCCAGCCTGGGCACCCCAGGAACCAGCACAAAGTTAGGTGCCCCTCCCTTTGAATAGCCACCCGAAGACCTTTAAGCGCACTGGGCCTCCCTCCCATTACACTAGGATCACCTTAGGGAATGACCTTATTTGAGAACTGACTACTTATCTAGAGGGTCTGTATCACTGATCAAACTGGATCATGCTTTGCTCAGGCTACATCATTCATTTTCTCGTGCTGCCCAGGAGCTGAGAGCTTGGAGGAAATCAGATCAACTATACATGAAGAAATTACATTTTCTCTGCCTAGGATGAAGCAAGAGGGAGGGAGAAAGTGAAGACAGTAGCTACAGAAACTCAAAATTTTGAGTTTTTCTGAAAACATAGACGTGACCTAGAAGAGAAAAAATCTGATGACCTAGGAGAGAGGGATTTGATAGTAATACCCTCGAGGAGGGCAATGGAGTGCTTCAGATGCTGAGCTGACTCCAGCTACCAGTGCCACCAACTTATTCACTTGCCCAGAGGGGAGGACGGTGGGGGTGTGGTAGTGGGAGAGAGGGTATAGAAGCTTTTTTTTCACTTTGCTTTAATTTTCTTTCAGAGAAACATAGTGCATGATCTCCACTCAGGCGTTAGAATGGGGGGGGGGGGGGCGTAGGGTTTAGGGAGACAGGAGAATATATCAGCAGAGTCTGAAGGGCAGGAAATTGAATGAGGTAGGGTAAGTATTCTGATGGCAGAAAAAGCTAAGCACGCTGCTAGAGGCTGTGCATTTCCAAAGAAACAACTCTGCAGCCAAGTGGAAATATGCATGGGCCAGGCTGCCCTGCCGGCTCTGCTCTGGTGGAGTAGACAGGTATGACAATGGAGCAAAGAGCAAAACCACTGAGGATGAGTCTTTGGGATGACTGTCGCCACTCATGGCGTTTAGGTTGTAAGAAAGTGAGGTTATCAGGCATGTGAGGAACAAGGAAAAGGCAGGAGGAGCAACGGATGAGAGGATCCTGTGGAGTGAAGGATTTCAGGGCCAGAGGCAGGAAGGAATGTGAGCAAAAAGTGAGCAGACGGAGGTCAGAAGTGGAGATGGAAGAGGGCTCTCAGGTCCTGGTAATGGTAAGATGTAAGGTATGCTCACAAAAGCAGCTGGCAGAGATGGGGTGCCAGATAGGATCACTAATAGAAAGGGGGTCAATGAACCCCAAGATCAGGCACATGTGAGTGGGTGTGTATTTTATCAGATGCAGTGCTTGAGAGAGAAGATGAGGTACCCGATCCTCGGGCAATGAGGATGAGTGATGGGTAGGGGCTGCACAGGGTGGAATGTGATGAATTCAGACTCAAATCTACTTTTTAGGACAGCTGGAAATAACAAGGGCAAGGGAAGTGACAGTTACCTTCCACGAAATTCCTGCATGTGAGAGAGAACTTGCAAGGGAAGCATGTTCCTAAGATGAAGCCAGGTTTCAGATCCAAAAAAAAGAGAAGGGAACTTGGGAGAAAAGGTTGAAAATTTTTAACAAGATGCGTTTTAAAAAAAAAAGCTAGACAGGCATTCATCCACGTAAAGGAGCTGGCGGAAGCTCCAGAGCAGTGGGGTTGGGGTTGTGGCTCAGGGGTAGAGCACACGCCTAGAACATAGGAGGCCCTGGGTTTGGTCCTCCACACCACATAAAGATCAATAGATAAAATAAAGGTATTGTGTCCAACTACAATTAAAAAATAAATATTTTTTTTTAAAAAAGTTCCAGAGCAGTATAGGAAGCTTGGGTGAGGATAGAGGGAGTGGGAGACAGATTTCCGGGCTGGGGCTGGGCGGTGTGGCAGGTCCTCAGGCTTGCAGGCTCAGGTGTTAGGCTAGACATTCTCCAAATCCCAGACCCAACTCTTTGCCTGTTTGATCTCAAGGGAAACCCTATTTGTCCACCAGGAAGCAGCTCCTCAGGGGCATGAGGATTAAACTGAAAGCACAGGGCCAGACACAACCTAGGCACTCAGTGGGCGTCAGCTATTGTCATTTTGATCACGGTGAGCTGACTCAAACATCAGTTTTCATCCATTTCCTGAATTTCTGTTGTTTCAGGTGTTGGCTGTTTTTTGAAATTTATAAAACACTCTGTACATAAAAACAATGCCTCACATGTGACAGTATTCAAGCATACATTTCAACATTTAGGTATCATTCTTTTTTTAAAATATTTTTTTAGTTGTAGATGAACATAATATCTTATTTATTTATTTATTTTTATATGGTGCTGAGGATCGAACTCAGTGCTTCACACGTGCAAGGCAGGCGCTCTGCCACTGAGCTATAGCCCCAGCCCTTAAGTCTCATTCTTTATTATGAGCAACCGTGCCCCTGTTTAGAAATTCCAGGGATCCTTGGAATTATTTAGTCAGCTCCTTCCACCACCATTTGGAATTCAGAATAGTGGCCTTGACGAGGACAAGACTGGGCCAAGATCACACGGCAACTCAATCCTGGTAGCTAGGACTAGTGGCTCTGAATTCTAGTCTTGACTGCTCTTCTGTTTGGGGTGTAGCTTCCTAGTGGTCATGGGGGCGGGGCATTCTCCTTCCAGACACAAGCACAGATCCCCCAGAAAGCCCCCTGTGTTCTTGACTTACAAAAAGTGCTCGCAGCGCGCAGGGGCCAATACCAACCTCTCGGAGGGTAAGGAATCGCTTACCGGGAGTGGGTAGGGCTCCCGCCCTGCGGCCGCCGCGAGTTCCAATTAGCGCAAGGGAAGCGCCTCGGTTTACCCAGGGGCTGGGAGGGCGCGGGGAGCGGTACCCGGGCGGGCGAGGGCCGGGGGCGGAGACTGCGCGCCGCTGGCTCCCGAGCGCCGGTCAGCGAACCCTCAGAGCCGCCTTCCCGCGCCAGGAGCGGCACGGCTCGGCGGTACCCGCAGGGGTTCCACTGGGCTCGCAGCGTCGCTGCGCTCCGCCGTCGGGCCGGGCGCGCCCTGCGGAAGGCAGGGAGAAGAAGCGCTCCCCACGGGGGCCACGCACGGGCCTCCTGAGCGGCCGCGCGGTGCTGCCATGGGTAGCCCCTGGAACTGCAGCGACGGCTCCGAGGGCGCGCGGGAGCCTCCTTGGGCCTCGCTGCCGCCGTGCGACGAGCGCCGCTGCTCCACCTTCCCCCTGAGGACGCTGGTGCCGGTGACCGTCGTGTGCCTGGGCCTGTTCGCCGTCGGGGTGAGCGGGAACGTGGTGACCGTGCTGCTGATCGGGCGCTACCGGGACATGCGGACCACCACCAACTTGTACCTGGGCAGCATGGCCGTGTCCGACCTGCTCATCCTTCTCGGGCTCCCCTTCGACCTGTACCGCCTCTGGCGCTCACGGCCCTGGGTGTTCGGGTCGCTGCTCTGCCGCCTGTCCCTGTACCTGGGCGAGGGCTGCACCTACGCCACTCTGCTGCACATGACAGCCCTCAGCGTCGAGCGCTACCTGGCCATCTGCCGTCCGCTGCGTGCCCGCGTCCTCATCACCCGGCGCCGCGTCCGCGCGCTCATCGGTGCTCTCTGGGCGGTGGCCCTGCTCTCCGCAGGACCCTTCTTTTTTCTGGTGGACGTCGAGCAGGACCCCAGCATCTACCCGATCGTGGGCCTTAACGGCACTGAGCAACACACCTTCTTGTCCAGCGTGCCGCCGCCCCTCTGGCCCTCGCGGGCGCCACTGTCGTCCCCGCCCTCCGGACCTGAGGCTGCAGCGGCCGCGGCGCTGTTCAGCCGCGAGTGCAGGCCAAGCCGCGCACGGTTGGGTACATTGCGGGTCATGCTGTGGGTTACCACTGCCTACTTCTTCCTGCCCTTCCTGTGCCTCAGTGTCCTCTACGGGCTCATCGGGCGAGAGCTGTGGAAGAACCGAGATCCGCTGCAAGGTCCTGCTGCCTTGGGGCGGGAGAGGAGCCACCGGCAGACAGTCCGCGTCCTGCGTAAGTCCTGCCGCCTCTCTTCCAAACTCGCCAGTCCTTGGTCAGCACCGCAAGTGGGAACAGGCAAACTGCTTGCCCTCTACCTCCAGAGAAAACCATCTCTAGTCCCCCAGGGTTTGAGGAACCCAGGGCTCGGATCTAGCAAACAGTAATGACTTCCCAATGCTGCTGAGATCCAGGATGGGTGGCTGGCCCGCCCCTGTTAGAAACCGCAGCTGTGGATTAATCACAGTACCCTTTGAGAACACGGGTAGATTGCATTAAATTAAAATTTCATTTAGTGTTAAGTTATCCCAAAGACTGAGGTGAACCATGCCCATACCAAAAAGTCAAGGATGCGTAGACCTGTTGCAGATTTTTTTCCCCCAAGATAATGTGCTTCTTAAGCGGGTTTGTAAAAGGAAGGCTGCCAAAACAGCTTGTTGGGAGCAATTGTTTTTTCTGGCTTATTCCCAGTCTTGATAACACATGCATGAGTTTTAAAGCAAATATCGATGCAGTTAAATACCTGGTTGGTTTTTGTCCTTGCATACATATTTGCTAGGTGAAACTTTTATCTAATTTATTTTGTTGCTATACAACTGCAGGTGGATTTTTTTTTTTTTTTTGCGGGGGGGGGGGGGGGTATTTCATTTGTTAATGCTTTTGCTAATGTGTCTGTGTCTTGTTTTGCAGTGGTGGTGGTTTTGGCATTTGTAGTTTGCTGGTTGCCTTTCCACGTTGGCAGAATCATTTACATAAACACCGAAGATTCCCGGATGATGTATTTTTCTCAGTACTTCAACATTGTCGCCCTGCAACTATTCTATCTGAGTGCATCCATCAACCCAATCCTCTACAACCTCATTTCCAAGAAGTACAGAGCAGCCGCCCGTAAACTGCTGCTTGCAAAACGGTCCAAACCAAGAGGTTTCTGCAGAAGCAAGGACACTGGGGGGGGCCCTGGGGGAGACACTGGAGTCACAGTTGGCTACACAGAGACCAGTGCTAACACAAAGACAATGGCCTAACCAGCACAGCTGAGCCAATTACAAGACTTTGGAGACAACAGGTCTGTAGAGAAATAAAGACAGAAAGTGGGGTATGAATGCTGTTTAAGAATGAGAGTTGTTGAAATTTTGCAAGCTGGTTAGAAATTGTTGGCATGATTTTTTTAAAAACCAAAGTATGAAATGTTTCTGTACCAGTTATTACAGTTTCCCTTTCATGTATCTGTATTCACTTTAGCATCATGAAATCCCACATCTATAGTGTGTCTGGAAGAGGTTTTCTAAGTCTTCATTCATTCTACTCTGGGAATAAGATCAATCATTTTATAGTTAAGTGATAGAGCAATGCTGCCTAAAAATTGTCACCTCTGAGATCAGGGCTGTATTTTGTTCAGTTTGGGATATAAATATACATATACAAGGAAACAGGATGATGAGTTTGGATCCAAGAATTATTTAATACCTATATATGGTATATTTAATACCTATATATGGCCATATAGACCATATATGGCTTTGTGGAAAAACTTTTAGAAGTAAGAATTTCAGGTAGACTCCAATGTTCAGGAGTCCCACCTCTCAACAGACTGGGAGCAAATAAACTTTTGGCTAAATGTGCTCTTTGAGACCTGCTATGAATAAAACCAGTGCAACCCACTTTTCCCTGGAACTACCTATGGGGTTGTACTAATGCCACTAGCCTTGAAGTAGCAAAGTTGGGCACAGAGACAAGAGGACAGAGAGCTTGGCCTTCTGAGATGACTACTGATGAGCTTTGAAAAGAACTTTAATCTACCTTCCTTTGTCTCAGCCTATATGGATGAGAATTGTCATCATCCCTGTTTTACTAGTGACAGAACTGACTCTCAGATTTCCCAGACAGGAACTAGGAAGGCTTGAGTCTGAATCCAGACTTTAAAATACTCACCCACCCTCAATGAGATTGTAATTGTTGAAAAACATACAGGTTGCTTTGTGAAAGAGAATGCATTGGACATTCTAATGAACAATTCTGAAACTTTGTTTTGTTTTTTACAGTTTAAAACATAAATGTTCCCAGCAGCTCTGGAGGCTGAGGCAGGAGGATCACAAGTTCAAAGTTAGCTTCAGCAATTTAGCGAGGCCCTAAGCAACTCAACGAGACCCTATCTCTAAATAAAATATTAAAAAGGAACTCATGTAGCTCAGTGGTTAAGTGCCCCTGGGTTCAATTCCCAGTACCTAAATAAATGTGTTTTCAGAAGGCTGCTGCTGTATCACACAGACAGGGCCTCATCAGCCTCAGTCTGTATAAATGGCGCCCCTGTAAGTGGGCAAAGCCTGACTTGCTCAATTGTACTTGGGTTCCTTTTGGGGTTGATAAAGTTCATCCCTAAATTACAGTAGATTGTTGATACTTATTACGAATTTTTATTGAGATGTTCATGAACCTTCAAATCCACAAATATCAAAAGAGTGTCAAATGCTGTAAAATAGAACTTCATCAGTTATAGTGACAAACAGAAGTAAGGTCTCAGAATGGGATTCAGAAGCTGGAGAGTTAGCTCAGTTTACTTGCTAACTTGGGGACTTTGCTTCACAGCTCACAGTTTGGGCAGCCTCCATTTCTAAATTGCTTCAGGTCCCACAAATCATTATGGTCTGTTTTGAATAGTTACAACTACAAATGATGAATACATAAACAACCAGGGTCTTCTTGACCGGCTGACAAAGTTCTGTTGCTTTTTCGTTTTATTAGCCAAACCCAAGCTCAGCATCCTGACTCCCTGGTCTGTCCTCAGTGTGTGCAGGAGTGAAGCCTCTTCCCTGCCTTTGATCCCAGCTAGTGAGGAAGAAACCCTCCACCAACACTCCCCAAGTGACAGTATGACCTAATGAGTCAAAGACTGAGAAGCTGTTGTTTCACTCAGGATTTCCTTCATTTATTTTATTTTTATTTTTTAATTGTAAGTGGATGGACAATATCTTTTTATGTATTTATTTTTATGTGGTGCTGAGGATGGAACCCAGCGCCTCATACGTCTGAGGCAAGTGCTCAACCACTGACCTACAGCCCCAGCCCTCCTTCACTTATTTTATCACAGAACCAACTCCCCACCTTCCTTTCCAGGAACACCTGCTGAAACCTCACAGAATGAGGCACAGTACTGGGGGACCAGGCTTGGATTTGGGGATCTCATGGCAGAGAGCCAGCCTGTGCTGCTACCACTGTCCGCGTGATAGCCCTGAGTCAGGATGAGCTGGAGCTCTCTGCTCACAGGAATCCCTCTCTGGAGCAGTCAAAAGCTGACTTCTCCCCAGGAGAGATCACAATGAAGAACCTTACAAATAACCAAAAAATATTGTAGATACAGAAGCAAAGACTTTTCCTTTGAGCTTTCTTGTTCAAATTCTAGGAAGCAGGGATTTATATCACATTCTTCTAAGACCTAAGTATGTTCCCAGGTATGGGTATGGGGAGGGTCACCGTTACCTGACTGCACAGTCCCTGTCCAGGAGAACTGGAAGGCTATCTTTCCTGCAGGGTCCCTGTCTGATCTTAGCCTCTTCATGAAATTTGAAATCATTTGTAATGGTCATTTTTTCTGCAAAACAACAGAGTGAATAAGAACAGAATAGAAAATATCAATGCATCACATGTTGGTTGGTTTCTTTCCTGGTTCACAAAATAAAACATATCTTTACTGTAAGTCATGGTCAAAAATTTGTTTGAAAAGTTGTTTTGAGATCTAAAATTGTTCTCCACGCTGGAAGAGGGTCTGTTCTTGCACTGACAACTGTCAATAAAAGGAAGGTATTGAGAAGACCCAGAGTGGTCAAGTCAAGGGTCACTGGAGAGGGACAATGAAGCTGTGGATTACTGTCCTGGTCCTCCCTCTCCTCCTTGGGCATGTCATGGAAGCTGTGCCCTGACTACTCCCTCCACCCTGACTGAGGTCTGTGCTGGCATTCCAGCAACTTATCTGAGCCCCTTTCCCTTCTATAGGCCAAACCATTTTTGTTAGGAGAACTGTCAACCCTTGTGGGAGAGTTTGTTATTTCATTCATTCGCAGGGCAAATATTTACCAAGCAACTGCTAAGTGCCAGATGTGTAGGACAAAATACTCTAGAAAAATTAGTCCTTGCCATGGTATCAAAATCAATCAACTTTTTAATGGCATTTTTTTTGTTTGAAATGTGTCATTGTGTCACCTAGACTAAACACAGATTCAGCTTACAGGTTAATAAAAGCACTTACATCAGATGGAAGCAGAATATCAGGTTGCTCCTCTTTCACATAGAAGACATTTGCACTTCTGCAGGAAATGTTCTCAGAGCTATTGTACAACACCTCCTCGCATCCAAGGGACCCCTGTGCCAGGTTCACAAGAAGCCACAGAAGCCATGTGTCAATGATGTTTGAAAGTTTGAACATGCCCTCTCCTGACCCTTTCTACTCATGTCATAACATTTGCCAGTGTATGGAAGTGTTTTGTATTTAAGTGTTAGTGGTTGCACAAGTGTAGAGGTTTAAAAGGGCTTTACTTAAACACAGATGCTGTGCAGTTTTTTAATTGGGAATGCACTTTCTAAAGATCCCAAACTCTATACACTACAGAGCCCCCCGCTCAGCCCTGAGCAGTCTTCAAAACCCAACATTTCCTTTCCCAAGAGCACAAGAATATTTGTGCTCATTGAGCCAGCCCTATGGGAATGCTGTGTGGGCAACTACTCACCCGTCCCTCATCCTGTGTAAGTTACAGAGGAGGTGAGAGAACAAGGCTCTTCTCATCACCTCCTTAGAAAAACAATTCACTTTTATTTTTCCGTGCTGAAGATCAAACCCAGAATCTTGCACACACTAGGCAAGCATCTACCACTGAGCACAATCCCAGCCCATGACACATACTTTTAAAAGAAGATCAGACACCTAGCTGAGTGCTATAATCCCAGCCACTCAGGAGGCTGAGGCCAAAGGATAGCAAGTTGGAGGACAACCTGAGAAATTTAGCAAGACCTTGTTTCAAATAAAATTTTATAAGGGCTAAGGATGTAGCTCAGTGATAGAGCACTTGCCTAGCATGTGTGAGGCTCTGGGTTTGATAGAGATAGGTAGATGATAGGTAGGTAGATAGATGATAGATAGATAGATTAGGCATGTATGTGAAAGGAGTTGAAACTCATCAGCTAGATCAGAAGAACTGAGCCTGGGCAGTCAGGGTGATGGTCTATGGTCCTTCTTACCCACTTAACAGGTTTCCTTGCAGGTGACTGTTTCCACTGGTAATGATCCCCAAAGACAAAGGCCAGGTGTTCTTTTCCAGTCTGCCTCTCTTGTTGAGGTGAATAATTTGCACGGAACTCAACTGCTAGTGAGGGAACGAGGTCTTCACTTCAGTGGATGAATAGAGTAAATGAACAGATAACTGCGGCCTTTGTTCTGAGCCATCGGACAGCACAAATAAAAGGGTAAGACAGGAGTGACCCAGCACACAGGAGGAGCCAGAACTGCTGCGTGGTACCAAGGAAAGGTCTCCAGGGAGGAGGAGAGGAAGGAGAATGCACTGATTAAATGGGAGCAGCAGGTGACGGGAGGCTGGGGCCGGGAGACCAGTTTGGACTAGCCACTTGCCCACAACCATGGTCTAGGACACTTGTGGGGTGGAGCAAAGCTGGATTTTCACTTTTACAGCTTCAGCACCTCCCAAAGCCCTTTCCCCATCCTTATGCAGCCCAAGATGTTCCAGTGACTCCCACCTGAACCTCTGTACCACCTACAACCCCCCTCCCCATCCAAGGCCCAGCTAGGCCCTTCAAGGAAAGGACCATGGTTTTGCATTTCCTTTCTTTCAGCTCTACAGTGTGTATGCAAGTCTAAAATGTTCTATGAATTTCTACTACTTGTCGTGATAAGGGAAATAAATAAGATTTTAAAATTTTTCAAAAGCTAATACATGTAGGCTGGGGTTGTGGCTCAGTGGTAGAGCACTTGCCTACCATGTGTGAGGCACTGGGTTCAATTCTCAGCACCACATATAAATAAATAAAAATAAAGATCATTGACAATTTTAAAAATATTTTAGGGGCTGGGACTGTAGCTCAGTGGCAGAGCACTTGCCTAGAATGTGTGAGGCACTTGGTGCTGTCCTTAGCACCACATAAAAATGAAACAAATAAAATAAAGACAAGCTGTCCATCTATAACTACAAAAAAATTTTAAATATTTTTAAAAGCGAATACACGCAAAATTCAAAGTTGTAACAAGTCTTTTAAAAGTTTCAGAGGCTGGGGATGCAGCTCTGTGGTAGAGCACTTGTCTATAACATGATGAGGACTTGGATTCAATCTTGGGGAGAAAAAGAAAAGAAAAAAAAAATCACTGTAACAGTTATGCCCACTCATAACTGGAACATAAATAGGACTAACCCTGATCTTTCTTCTTACTGTCTTCTTCCACAAATAGTTCATTACTTTGTTTTTATAGTGACTCTCAGTGCCAGCCCCTCTCAGGCTTTTTATTCCCCAACCTCATTCACTAGATCAGCAGTTCTCAAACTTCAGTTCACCTCAGAATCACCTGGAAGACTTGTTAAAGCTCAGACTTCAGGGCTTCTCCCAGAATTTCCAATGTAGTAGGTCTGGAGTGAGACCAAGAATTTGCATTTCTATCAAGTTCCCTTAAGGTGATGCTGATTCTGATGGTCTGAGAGCCTCTAGGATAGATTCTTGCTGCAGAACATGGAGTCCACAGTCCGATGAGGCATTAGCATCTTCTGGGAGCTTGTTAATATGCAGATTTTCAAATTTGTACTTCTGTCCAGTTTGTAGATGCTGTGGTATGGCTAAATTGCCCCAGGCTTGCCTTGAACTTGCCATCTTCCTGATTCAGCTTCCCCAGTCGCTAGGATTACAGGTATATGCCATCACATTCAACTTGGGACCATGCTTTGAGAACCACCCATTGAGGTGTTCAGAGGAGGTGACTCCAACAAGGAGAACACTTACAAAGATAAAAGGAAAGGCTTAGGGACACACTCTAATGATCCCAGGCTGGCTACAGAAGTTGCTAAGCAGGCAGAAGAAGCAGAGAATGAAAAGGAATGTATGGAATGCAATCCAAACAGAGTCTCAAGCAGGTTTGGGGGCCATCTGGTATTTGATTCCAGATCAGCAATGACCAAGAACACAAAGAGAACAAAGTAAGGTTTCTAGGCAAACTACAGAACACGAAGTTAAATTTCCAATAAGCAACACTTTTTTTTTTTCTTTTAAATAACTAAACCCAGGGGAAACCACATACATGGGAACCCGAAAGGAGCTTGGCCATGACTGTGCTGCCCAGGCCCATCTGCCTCTAGGCATTCTGGGACTAAGAGATTGGAAGAGCTCAGAGAAGTGGGCTTGCCAGGCCTTCCTACCTCATAGGAGCAGAAACATGCCCTGGACATTCTTACCCTGCAGCACATTAATCTATGTGGCACCTTATTTACTTTTCTGAGGACACCACTTGGGACAATATATGGAAAGCCTGACTATTTCTCTCAGACAGCACTGCCCTCCGTAACAGAGTACCTGTTCCCTGCAGGGCATCTGGAGTTTGTTCCAGGCTTCTCTGCTTCCTCAGGATTAAGTGCTGCCAGGAACTGCCTTCTGAGAGTTGTTTAGGAAGTCTTCATTTCTGGATTCAGGATGCTGTTTATGGTCACAATTTTGCCAGAAAGAACCAAATTGAGGTCAGTCTCCTGTCATTGTGGTTGAACTGGCCACGAATCATTCAGGTACAGGCAAGCTACTGCACTTAGGGGACTATCTCAGCTGCTGCCATCTTGGAGCCCCACATTGGTAGATGGGGGGTCCACCTAGGAGTGGCAGCCAGAGTTCCAGTGTGTGGGAAGCTGTCGGGTGTCCTGCATGGGAGTGGCGTCCTTGATTTCTGCTGGGGTGGGTGTCCGAAAGTTCTGCGCAGGTGCTGATGATCCTTACTTATTTATCTTTTAGTGGTGCTAAGGAACAAACCCAAGGCCTCACAGTTGCTAGGCAAGCACTCTACCACTGAACTACAACCCCAGCCCCAATATCTTTTTATTTTGAAAGTTTAAGACTCAAAAGAAGTTTCAAAATAATATGTTCCTGTGCACTCTTCCATAGCTTCTGGAATCATATCTTACATCATCTTCATATAGTGGAAAAACCCAGGAAAATGACATTAGTACAATACTATTAATTCAGATATAGCTCTTATTTGGATTTCGATAGTTTTTGTTTGTTTTTGTTTTGTTTTGTTTTTGGTACCAAGGATTGAACCCAGGAGCACTTTACCACTGAGCCACATCCCCAGCCCTTTTTAATATTTTATTTAGAGATAGGGTCTCCCTAATTTTCTGAGGCTGGCTTTTGAACTCATGGTTCTCCTGCATCAGCCTCCTGAGTCTCTGGGATTACAGGTACGCCACCACACCCTGCTTGGATTTCAATAGTTTTAATGAACTTTTTTTGGTTTCAATTGTAAATAGGTCTATGAAATTTTATCACATATGTGTAGAAGTAACCATCAACTCAAAGAAAGTACCTCTTATTTTTCTTAACAGTCATACCTTTTCCCACCCATAATATTTATGATCACAGATCTGAACTTTATCAATCATAATTTTTTTTTTTTTTTACTTAGGGAATGATTTGTACATGGATTCAGACAGAATGTAACACTTTCAAGTTGGCTTTTTACACTTGGCACAATGCACTTGAGATTCATCCAAGTTGATGGCTGGATTGATAGCACATTTCTTTTTATTGCTTAATAGTGTTCAATTGCAATGTTCCCCATTTTCCTCACTGAAAACTGTTTGGCTGTACAGTTTTTGACTATGACAAATGAAATCACTCTGATATTCATGTATAGTCTTGTGTGTGAACATGTTCTTATTTTTCTAGGATAAATAACCAGCAGTGTAATTTCTGTGTGGTAAAATAAGTATATGTTTAACTAGAAACTGTCAAACTGTTATCTAGAGTGGCTGTGCCATTTAATATGATCACCAGTAATGAATGAGATATCCAGTTGCTCTGCTTCCTTTCTAGCATTTGATACTGTCTGTACTTTTGATTTTATCCATTCTAATATGTTGCATTCCAGGACTAAAACACTCAGGGTCACTCCAGGTGAACTGGGATGCATGTAATAATCACACAGAGACAGAAATACTTTTTTCTTTGGGTCCTGTGATGGCTCCTCTGACCTTAGGGGTCTGTGGAAAAAGAGAGAGAGAGAGAGAGAGAGAGAGAGAGAGAGAGAGAGAATGTGCTGAGCCCTTTTTTGGGGAGAAGCCATTCAAATGAGGCAAGGGGTCAGGTTTCAGGGGGTTGAGTCTAGCTTCATGATGTCTGATGTCAGCAGATAGACTAACATCTATGAAGGCCATGCCCATCTCATGAGCTGTGTGGGTATCATGGAAGAGCAAGTGAAAAGACCACAGCAAGGCTCGCCCAAACAGAGGGGCAACGTTGGCTCAGTCCACTTTGTGCCCTCAATGCTCATCATTCACACACACAGACCATGGCTGGCTTGCCACACCTCCACATTCTCATCACTCAAGGTTAAGGGGAACTCAGTTCCTATGTGGCAGCTACCGACACTAATAGCAGGGTCTCATCATGATTTTTAAATGCATTTCCCTAATGGTTAATGACAGCGAACATCTTTTCCTGTACTTATTTGTCATTTTTTAAATCTTTGATGAAGTGACTATTTAAGTCTTTTATCTATTTTTCTAATTGAACTGTTTATTGATTTACTGTTGAGTACAGAGTTCTTTACATATTGGGGATACAATGAGTCCTTTATTGTATATGTGATTTGCAAATATTTCTCCTAGCCCATGGCTTGTTTTTAAAAGCATGGTGTAAATGGCCATGAAAGAACTGTAAAGAAAAGCCAGACTCCAAGAAAGGTGCAGAGTCAAAATGAAGTCCCCGATATAGTCAGTTTATCTGAAGACCTTTACCCTCAGAATAGGCAAACTCTTAAAAAAAATTCTACACAGCCAAAGAAATAAGTAGCAAGTTGAAAAATAGATCTGAAGATGTTGACCAGGATGTAGCTCAAAGAAACAAAGAAATGGAAAATTTCTTAACTCAGATGGTTAAACTACATCTAATTAGAGTTCTAGGAGGAGAATTTAATGGAACATGTAGTGATTTAAATTAAATTAGTTAAAACTAGATAAAGTTAAAAATTCAGTTCCCCAGTTACACAACTACTTTCAGGTTCTCAGTTGCCACATATGCTGGTGGCTTCCATCCTGGAAAGTGCATATCACAGAACATTTCCTTCATGGCACAGTTCTATTGAGCAGTGTTGATCTAGGCCATAAAACATGTCTGAACAAATTTCAAATAACTGGTGTCATACAGATCATATTCTCTGGTCATAAACTTTACATTAGAAAGCAATAACAGTAACTTTTTTTAAAAAAAAAAAAATGCCCACCTTACATCTGAAATCTTTTTAAAAAAACATTTCCAAATAACTCACAGGTCAAAGAAATCACTGGGACATTTAATACATTAATACTGATGGATAATGAACTTATGAAATCCTACTTAGATGGAAATTTTATCCTGAAATGCCTATGCAAATAATAACTCTAAAAATTAAGAAGCTAAATTGTCAAATGAAGATGTTATGATGATAAAATAAATGCAAAGAGAGTGAAGAAAAAAATAAACAAAATGTATAAAACAGAAAAAAACTATCATAGGTTCATTAAGGAAAAAAAGATCATTTTATGAAAAGACTAATAAAATTGATAAACATCTGGCAAAATTTGCTCATAAGCAAAAAGAATTCTAAAACAAATAATATTTTCATTTTAAAAGCAATAGGATTAAAAGACAGTAAAAGAACATTTTGAACAAACATATGTCAATTAATTTTAAAGCCTACATAAACAAATTTTAGAAAAACATATTTTACTAAAAATTGACGAAGAAAAAGTAGAGTTTGAATAGCCTTTTTACCAATAAAGGAATGTGATTCATAATGAAAAGTGGAAACTTTAAAGAGCATTAGATGTTTTCCCAAGCAAGTTTTAATAAATATTCAAGGAAATAAGTAATTTCAATTCTTCATAAATTCTTTTCTGAGAAAAGAAAAATAGGAAACACTTCCTAACTCATTTCTAAGACTGGGCTAATCAAGACATCAACACCAAGGAGACCATGATATATTATATGTCAAATTCACTCATGAACATAGATCCAAAAATCTTAAAATAAAATTTATCAAATTTAATCCAGCAAGTAATAATACATTATGATCAAGATGAGTCTATCACAGGAATACCAGGGTGACTTACCATTAAGCAATTTATTAGTATGATGTACCATGATGTACCTTATTAAAGAGAAAAACTACAGTGTTATGGTTTAGATATGAGGTGTCCCTCAAAGGCTAATGTGTTAGACAATGCAAGAAAGCTCAGAGATAAAATAGTTGGGTTATGGGAACCTTGACCTAATCAGTGCATTAATCTACCTGAATGGATTAACTGATTGGTAACCATAGACAGGTAGGGTGTGGCTGAAGGAGGTAAGTCACTGGAGGTTTGTCTTTGGGGTATAGATTTTGTCCCTGATGAGCAGAGCTTTCTCTTTCTCTGCTTCCTGGTGGTCATGTCCTGAGCTGCTTTCCTCCACTACACTCTTTTTCCATGATGTTCTGCCTCACCGTGGGCCCAGAGCAATGGAGACTGTGGGAGACCAACCTTGCATGTGACTGGGTGACACTCCTCGGCTGGGTGCTGAGGCTCTCAGTCCCAGAAATGTGGCACCCTTCCTGGGTGCGAGGGTCGGTGTCTGGAGCATGGGTGTGTCTTGCTACAGCCCTATGGGTGAAGCTATGATCACCTGTTCCTTTGTAATATAACCCCTTGCCCTGTTTAGGATAGAATCTTCCATGGAAGTGCCCTGTGTGTGTCCCCTTCTCTTACTGTGCCCTTGGGTGTGGCCTACCCAGGTGTCAGTCAACCTGCTGACAGTGGACATCATGAAGATAGACTCAGCCCTCTGAAACCTGACCCCTTGCCTCATTTGAATAGCTTCTCCTCAACAAAAGGGGTCAGCGCTGCTCTCTCTCTCTTCCTGCAGACCCTTAAGGTTAGAGGAGCCGTCACAGCGACCCCAAAGAAAAAAGTATTTGTGTCTCTTGTGTGGTTATTTTGCGCAGCCCAGTTAGCCCAGTTCAACTGGAGCAACCCCTGAGCCTTTTAGTCTCGAGAACAGAAACCCTGCAAGGAGACAGCCTACTGTGGACTGAAACCTCTGAAACTGTTCTAGTAGTTCTAGGAGGAGAATTTAATGGAACATGTAGTGATTTTTTCCACCTCTAAAATGATTCTTGTGAGATCTTTTGGTCCCAGTGGCGAAAAAGTTGTCTCAAACATATGATTGAGACATCTTAATAGATTCAGAGATTGTATTTGATAAAATTCAATATTTATCATGACAATAATTCCAGTAGGCCAGCACAGGATAGACTTTTGTTAAATTGATAAAAGCCATTGACCATGAGCATTTGCTATAATTCAACATCTGATTTATAAAAAGAACTTTGGTAAAGACAGGTATGAATATCCTACAACAAAAATCATAATTGAAAGTTGATTATTAAAATAATTTCCTTTGCCAGGTACAGTGGTGCACACTTGTAATTCCGGCTACTCAAGAGGCTAAGGCAGAATTCCAAATTGGAGACTAGCCTGGGTAACTTAGCAAGACCCTGTCTCAAAACATAAAAAATACTGGGATGTGGCTCAGTACTGGTTAAGTGGCCCTGGTTTCAATTCCTGGCACCAAAAAATAATAATAAAATTTTAAAAACATGCCTACATATATATTTTTGGAGAAAAGTTATAAACCTTTTTGAAAATCATGTTCATATAGATATACCATGTTTGTGAAGTGGAAAACTATCTCAAACTTACCTATAAATTCAATACACTTGCAATCAATATGCAAATGAAATTTTTTGAAGAATGTGAACAATAGGATTCTAAAACTTCCATAGGAAATTAAAGGTCCAAGAATATCAAAGACATTTTTGAAGAATAAGTGTTTTTTTGGGGGGAGGGGGAACATAAGTAAGCCCAGAAACAAACTCATATACGTAGAAATTTGACACATGGCAGAAGTTTCAGTGCAGATCGATGATGAAATAGTGTTAGGATAATTGATTATACAAATGGAAAATAAAATTTGGCCCCTATATGTCACGATGGGCAAAGGTGTGACTTATGCAGTCAAGGGGGAGAAATAAAGAATGTCCGCACACTTCTGCCCTTTTCAATGTTTTATTCACTGAAATCACTTACTATAATTTTACTTCTTAATCAAGAAAATGACAATCCTTAATGCTGAGCACTACAAAAACAATAATCCAAACTGATACAAGCAATAAATACAACTAATTCAAAGCAAACAAATTCTAAGTTAACTCTAAGCACTGCAAACACTCTTAATCATAACAGACTTATTACAGACATTCCCTTTGCATGCTAAACTTATGTGCTAGATTTAAAGTCTTAAGACTTAGATCTTAAGTCCAGCAGATGCATACTTACTCAGACTGCAGCAATCCGGTCAGGAACTGATGAAGGCTTCTTCTGCTGTGGAGGTGACAGCTGGTAAGGAGACATTGCCATTCTTACCAGGGTCAAAAGGCTGCTGTATAGTTTGAGAGTGATGAGGACAATGCAGAGGATTAGGCAGATGATGAGAAGAGTGGGGATGTCAGACTAGGTCCTCATCAGGCTCTCAGGCTTGTGTGCATCAGTGTCAGCTGGTGAATGTCTGTTCATTTGCTCCAATATTTTTGTTAAATTTGGGGAGCTTCTGCTCGCCCTTTGGGTCCCTATCAGTTGTTACCAGGTTTCTTAGTGACATCTTACATCTTACACAGGACATATGGTCTGGTGGTTTCTGCCCTGATACCCTTCTGACTCTTATCAGTTATGACAAATGACATGACTTCACCCTGACTCTTACCATGGTTGTGGAAAGTGACTTGTTTTTATCAGGCTATACCTGATTGACATATTGAAGGACTCTGTGGTTTGCCCGGTAAGACTGCAGGTTTATTTTAAGATGGAGTTTTAAAATGGAGTTGCTTAGGCTAAGGCCTAAAGCCATACTTACACTATAACACAACACACAGAAATGAATTCTACATTCACGAGGCTGAAATGTGAAGTAAACAACTTATGACTTTTAGAGGAAGATATAAAAGAACATATAACCTTGAGCAGGAAAAAATATTTTAAAAAGACACAGATAAAATATCATTAAATAAAATTATTGGTATGTTTGACACATTAAAATAAAGAATTGTGCTCTGAAAGATATCATAAAGTGTAAAAGCAAGTCAAAAGGGAGGGAAGACTTTTACCAGATAAATACCCAACTGATAATGAATATCCAGAATAATAAGGAATGCTTACTAATCAATAATAATAAAAATCAGGTAGGACAGTTAATGGGTATTCCATAGAAAAGAAATATGTATGACTACTCAACATAAGACAAGATGTTCAATCTAAATAGAAATCAGGGAAAATAAAACCACAAGATACCACTTTAAATCAACCAGATAGGTGCAGCCAATTTGGAAAGCAGTACAGAGATTCCTTGGAAATCTGGGAATGGAACCACCATTTGACCCAGCTATTCTTATTCTTGGACTATACCCAAAGGACTTAAAAACAGCATACTACAGGGACACAGCCACATCAATGTTTATAGCAGCACAATTCACAATAGCTGTACGGTGGAGCCAACCTAGATGTCCTTCAGGGGATAAATGGATAAAAAAAATGTGGCATACATACACAATTGAATTTTACTCAGCATTAAAAAAGAACAAAATCATGGCATTTGTAGGTAAATGGATGGTGTTGGAGAAGATAATGCTAAGTGAAGTTAGCCAATCCCAAAAAAGCAAATGCCAAATGTTTTCTCTGATATAAGGAGGCTGACTTATAGTGGGATAGGGAGGGAGAGTATGGGAGGATTAGATTAATTCTAGATAGGGAAGAGGGGAAGAAAGGGGGCAGGGGATTAGCAAGGATGGTGGAATGTGATGGTCATTATTATACAAAGTACATGTATGAAGACTTGAGTTGGGTGTCAACATACCTTATATACAGAGATATGAAAAATTGTGGTATATATGTGTATTAAGAATTGTAATGCAAAAAAAACCAAAGTACATGTTTAATGGCATAAATTGGCGTAAACATACTTTATATACAGATACGAAAAATTGTGCTCTATATGTGTAATAAGAATTGTAAAGCATTCCACTGTTGTCGTGTATTTAAAAAAATAATAAAATCAATAAAAAATAAAATAAATCAACCAGATAGGTACACATTTATATGTCTTGCCTTTCTTCCATCTTTCTTTTTTTAGACAGGGTCTTGCAATGTTCCCCATGCTGGCCTCAAACAAGATTCTCCTGCCTCAGTCTCCTCAGTAGCTGGAATTAAAGGCCTGAACCACCACACATGGCTCAGACTGATAAACATTTAAAGTCTGGTGGTACCAAGAATTGATGGAAAAAACAGTATTATGTAATAGGCTCCTCTGGAAAACACTTGAACATTTTCTAATAAACTGGACAGTAACCACCCAAGAATTCTGCTTCCAAATGTGGTCCCTAAAGAAACTCTTGCATATAAACATGAAGCATTTTCTTGTTTGTTTACAACAAGTTGTTGAAGCAAGGAGCTGGTCCAAATGTTCCTCCACTCAAATAAATGGTGATCTATACCTACAATGAAATACTATATAGTAATGAACCACAGCCACATCCTCAACACTGAAAAGATTCTCTTTAGTTCTTTCAAAATGATGGATTTTCATAATGTTTAACTTTTGCTTTCATAGTTTGAACTCAAGTTTGTGTCTTGCTACACATCCATATTTCAAATTGTATAACGGGAGATGTTGACAGAAACTGGGCTCTGAGTCACTGTAAAGAAAGGGGCCTAATTTTGAGTCACGTCTAGGGCACTAGAATAAAATGTTTTGGCATAAAGCCACAATGCCAGGGTACTCCTCAGATTTTCCAGAGACCACTCGTTTCTCCCTCCTCCCTTCACATTTTTTTCCCAGTTGGAGTTCCTCTCGTCTTCATGTTCTGGATAAGAAACAGAACGTCCCCGTTGGGTTCCGTGGCCCTACATTCCCCAAGGCCCGCCAATCTCTGATCAGAACAACCTCCTGGGACGCCCAACTCCTAACCCCTTTTCACCCGCTCAGGTTCTCAAAAACCATGACCGTGACAAGAGAGGGCTGGTTTCCACTTCAACACTCCTTGGCTCTCTGAGCCAAATTTTCAACTCTACACAGCCAGTCGCCTCATCGGTCCGCGCAGCCTGAGACCTCAGGCCAAGAAATCCTCGAGTGACTTTATTTCGGCAAAATCAAGAAAAACGAAAAGCAAAAAGAAACTGCAAACACTTCGCAGCTCGGCGCTTCAATCCCACCCGCCGCTCTCGTCCGACCCGCAGCCCAGCTCAGTCTCGGGCCTCGCCCTGACGTCATCAAGGCGCCCGGAAGTAGCCGTCAGGCTGGAGACGTCACCCGGTTGCGCCGAGTAAGATCACTGCTTACCAGTTGCTGGGAGGAGGCTAGAGGGGAGCTGCTGGGTCAGGATCATGCCTAACAGGGAGAGCTTTCCCGGGCAGCAGAGGCTGGTGGGCTTGGGGTGAAAGAAGCAGGGCAGATGCAAAATCTGGAGAGCGCGGGGGCCGGGCGGTCAGTCAGTACCCAGACTGGCAGCATGACCGGTGAGTGCCGGGGTCCCTGCTTCTGCCACCCCGCCTTTGGCTTTGCCTTGCGTCCCTGCCCGGATTGAACTCCGGTTCCCTGCCTCCGCTGCTCGCCCGCCCCGCCGCTTCCGGGTGTCTCGTCCCCTCCGGATCGGCTGCTCCGGCTTCTCAAAGCACACAAATTCTAAGTCGCGCTCATTTCCCGCGTCCAGCCTTGTTTTCCTCGAAGGACCAAGAGCTAGGACCCCAGGGGCTGAAAAGCCCTTGGCTTTTATCTTGATTCCCAAAATAGCCGCGCGTGACGCTTTGCCATTTTTAGTGCAGTGTTCTGCTCACTGCTCTTGAAGCAACCCCTCATCACTGTCCGGAGAACAGCCCGCTCCACCATCACACTCAAGGACTTGCCCCAACTTTTTTTGGATTGTTCCCATAACTACGTGTATCTGTTGTATTACTTATTTCTGCCGGGCGAGGGAAGAAGAGAATGGGTCCAACTTTGGAAAGTGTCGTGGGAGGTCGCCTCAAGTGAGGTTGTAGCGACTCCTGCCATAAAAGCTCTCCTCTTGTCCGCTAAACCCCTGCTAAAGCTACTAAGCGAATACTGCTGTATCCAAGTGGCTTTGAGCTTTGTTCCTATTTTCATCTTTAGTAAAATTCTGAAGTGTTTGCCCTCTCCTTTGTAGGTCAAATGCCAAGACTTTCTAAAGTCAACCTTTTCACTCTGCTCAGTCTCTGGATGGAGCTCTTCCCAGGAGTAGAAGCCCAAAAGCAAAAATCTCAGGTATAATTTGTTTCTGTAGATAGTTTTTAACCCTTAGAAAAGTGACCGTCTCAAATTGGATTTTATTGCTCCAGTTGCTGTCACGCTTGAAACCAAACTCTAAGTAAGCCTTTAAAACTTCATGATAGTTTGATACTTGTAACTCATAGTGGAAGCAGTTCATCTTTCTGATCTAAAAACAAAATACTCTCTCAGACTGTGCCTTGTTTATCAGGTAATAATATTTATATGTTGGTTTTACCAATATTTTGTCTATAATACATAAATTATCACCCAGTCATATCCTTTTAGTGTTTTGGCTAGTTTTCTCCCACCAAACTGTAAATTGCTTAAAGATGGAGCCCATATCTAATTTTACTTGGCATCTCCTTTAGTTGTTAATCTGTTAATGCATAGTTTATTGTTTCATATAAGTCTCTTTTTTGGATTTTGAGAGATGATCAAAGCAGGATAGGAATATATAGTAAGAATAATCATAAAATCCAATATATTGGAAGCTAGTACAGCCTATATCATTTCCTTCTACTTCCTTTGGGATAACAAGGTTCTAGATTCTCATCATTTGTCTCCATGCTTGGAGTGGTGTGGTGGTAAGTTCTCACTATTTGGTTTGGTAATTTTTGATGTTTAGTGTTGTCATTAATTTTTTAGAGGGCCAAAGCCAACTTATAAAAACAATTTTAGGTTAAGCATTGTAAGAGTTTTTAGAAAGCAGTTAAAAAGGGCAGGGGGAGAAAGGGATTGCCTCTATCTTCTCACCATTCTAAAAATATCACTGTGACATTTCTCTTTTTTTTTCAATATTATTTTAGTTGTAGATGGACACAATACCTTTATTTTATTCATTTATTTTTATGTAGTGGTGAGGATCAAACCCAGTGCTTCACATGTGCAAGGCTAGTGCTCTGCCACTGAGCCACAACCCTAACCCCACTGTTAACACTTTGATACTGTTAACATTTGGATACTTTTCTTCCAATCTTTTTTTAAGCATAAGATTGTTTTCTACTCTTATAAAATTGTGATTATTTTCTGCATTGAGATTTTCAAATTGCCAATAATTCTGCTGAAAATTTGCTCTAGATTTTTTTTTTACAGAAAAGCTATAAATACTTAAATTTCCACTTTACTCTTAAGAGGCCATTCAACACCACCTTTTTATTTTTTGTTTTGATTGCCTTCTTTATTGTGGCTGAAGTTGTGTGGTTAATGCTAGAGATAAAAAGAAGAAAAAAGGGGCTGGGGTTGTGGGTCAGTGGTAGAGTGTTTGCCTAACATGTGAGGTACTGGGTTCGATTCTCAGCACCACATATAAATAAATAAAATAAAGGTCCATTGAGAACTAAAAAAATGTTTAAAAAAGAAGAAAAGATATGGTCCTTATTTTCTAATGTGGAGAATAATCAGGCATTTAAATATTAAGATACAGTTATATGATGGAGCCAAGTACAAAATATAAGCGAAGATGCTAACAAGGTTTAGAACCAGGCACAACATGAGGAAGTGAAGGAAGGATTCCACAATGAAGGTAGGATTTACACTGAGACATAAAGAATGAGTAGGCATTTGCTCAAATTGGAGGTTACCATGTAAGTAAGCTTAGAGGAATGAATTTGTGGTCCTCAGCCTGAGAGTGAAGTTGGGTGGAGGATGAGACTATAAATAAGCTTGGGAAGGTAGGTGGGAATCATGTTGTAAAAAAATCTATGCATTGGGCTGGGGCTGTGGCTGGGGCTCAGTGATAGAGCACTTGCCTACCATGTGTGAGACACTGAGTTCAATCCTCAGCAACACATAAAAATAAACACATAAAATAAAGGTATTATATCTATCTACAACTAAGAATTTTTTTTTAAAGATGTAGGCATTGCAGAGGAGTTTAGATTTTATTCTGTCAGTATCAGGATTGTATTTAGGAATTTTAATAGGAAGTAAGGGAATTCATCTCATAATAAAATCGTGCTTCCCCCCTATTCTTATGGGAAATATTTTATAAATAGTAAAACAGTATTTAAAATGTTATACATTGTTATTCTCTATTTTTTTTTTAGAGAGAGAAAGAGAGAATTTTTTAATATTTATTTTTTAAGTTCTCGGCGGACACAACGTCTTTGTTTGTATGTGGTGCTGAGGATCAGAACCTGGGCTGCACGCATGCCAGGCGAGCGCGCTACCGCTTGAGCCACATCCCCAGCCCTATTCTCTATTTCTTAACACCATCCAATACCCACCCTGATTTTATTAATGGTTTTGAGAAAGTTCTTCATTTCCTTCATGAATTTGGAAATTCCTTTATTTTTTCTACTTGTTTACAGCTTAATATTATTTTCTAGATATAGAAGATTCCCTTACTGTTTTAGATCTTTTTTGCAGATAAAATTTGTATTCAAGAGCCACAATATTAGAAGCAAATGTTTAGAGCTTTAAGACTTTAAACAGCACATTTTAGCTGAGCATAGTGGCACACACCTGAAATCCCAGCAACTCAGGAAGGTTGAGGCAGAAGAATTGCAAGTTCAAGGCCAGCCTCAGCAACTCAGGAAGGCCCCATCTCAAGATGAAAATAAAAAGGGCTGAGGATGTAGCTCAGTGATAGGATCCCTTTGGGTTCAGTCCCCTGTATTGCAAAACAAAACAAAATAAAAAAGGTACATTTTAAAAACTGGACTTGTTAGAGGTTGAATAGTAATTTTAAAGAAGCTTTTTTTAAAAAAAAAAAATAATATCCAGATTTGATTTTATTTTAATTCTCTTTACACACACATACGCCCCAAAATATATCCTGTGCTGAAATTAAGTTCTTTTTCAACAGACAAGCACAAGTTTAATTAAATTAGTGAATAATGATATTTAAATTTCTATTAGGAAGGAAGTCATTGGCCAACTAATTACCAAACTTTGTTTGCAAATAATGTACACTCTACCATTTCCTTGTTCTTTATGGAGAAAGCTGTGAAGCCTAAGAAAATAACTGAGATAAGGCTTTCAGTTAGCATTTTGGTAAAAAAAAAAAATAGTAATAATTAAAGTTTAGACTTAAGGAACTTCATTAGTACAGGGTTTTATATAACTTTATATCTTAACAAAGGATTGAATTTATATTTCCGTGTTTCCCCTAAAAGTTATGACTTCTTCTTTCATCTGCACCATGGGAGTTTTTTAAAGGAAAGAAATCAGTCTTTTAACTATTTTATTTGGAGTCTTGTTTAGAAACCGACTTGAACAAACACCTAATCTATTTAAGGTTTTTAAATCAAAGGTCAGACATAGGAATAAGTACAAAGGGCATTGGCATCCAATAAAACAAAACTCATGCTTTAAGAATTCCAGCTGACCTAAAATAGAGTTGACTTGAACATTAGAAAGGTCATCAGTCTTACATCCTCATTCTGACCCTGCCCTGTGACTGTTCACTACATTAGTGTCTTCCCAGCTGTGCTGTAGCACCTGTGTCTCCTTGACCCACAGTTGTTGAGGTGGCCTCCACTTCTATTCCTCGCCTACAGGCTTAGGGACTCAGGTACTTAAACTAAGACATCCTTAGGATTATTCTAGCAGTGATAGTTTGGGTTAAATAAGCTTTTGTATGTTAGCTTGGGAACTTGACTGTCATTTTTAACATTATTTAAGAAAATATGTCTTAAATTTCAGAGAAGCAAATTTACCAAATGTTTAGAAAATCATTTTGGTTGGTTGTCAACTATTTGTTCATCTAATATCAATAAAGTAGAGGTGTATAGTAATTTCATTAGTTCTAATGTCATGACCATTGCAAAGAAGCAAGAATGACAGCGTGGAGAAGGGGTAAAATGAAAGGGAGTACATTGTGCTCCACTCTTTTTTTTTTAATTGTATAAATATAAACTTAAGTCTTAATCTACATAAAAAAATTTTTAAATCATGCTTTTTTTTTGTACTAGGATTTGAATCCAGGAGTGCTTTACCACTTAGCTACACACCCAGTCCTTTTTATTTTTATTTTAAGACAAGGTCTCAATCAGTTGCTGAGACTGGTTTTAGTCTTGCGTTCCTGCCTCAGCCTTCCAAGTTGTACATACCACCAAGCACAGCAGAAAATCATAATATTGAAACAATAGGAATATAGCTGAAGTTTATATATCATGAATGTTACCATCATATTTATACTTGTAGAATGATACCCATTTTTTGCCTTATTTATTTATACCTGGGATTGAATCCAGGGTCACTTAACCACTGAGCCATACATATCCCTTTTTTATTTTGTATTTGCTTAGGGCCTTGCTAAATTGCTGAGGCTGACTTTGAACCTGCGATCCTCCTGCCTCAGCTTCCCAAGCAGATTATAGGTGTGCACCACCACAGCCAGCACACCTGATACTTCTTTACCAATTACTATAGTATATTTTATCCATTTGAATTGCACATAGTCTTTATAGGGTTGAGTAAGAACTATTGAGAAAAAAAGATATTCTTTAAGCTAAAATAATAAGATTATTTTGATTATTCTGTGTTTCACTTTTGCCATATAAAGTAAGTTACAGAAGCTCCAAGATACAATTTGACATGTGATTGTATTAGAAATACTGTTTTTGACACTTCTACCAGCCTTTTGTCTTTTTAAAAGTGTTCTTATGAGTTACCAAAGTAATATATGTTCATTATATTATAAAATGGGCAGAAGCAAAAATAGTTCCTCACAGTTCTACCACCTAAAGACTTCTAACTTTTTGTTTGTTTGTTTTTGTTTTCTGCTTCTCAATCTTTTCTGTTTCCTTTATTCATTTGAAATCATTTAGTTCTGGATTTTTCCCTTTTCATTTAATGTAGGAAAATATGTGTAATATTGCATTGGGGCAGCAACCATGTCTAATATTTTTAAGAGTAGCCAAGGCTTTTGTAGCCAACATGCCTGGGTCCAGATCCTGGCTCCATCTCATGCTAGTTGTGTCTTTGGATAAGCTGTTTTACTTTCCTCATCTATAAAGTGGAATGGTACTTAATACATACTATTTGGGGTTTGTATGGGAAATGAATGAGGTAGTTCATTCTCGGTAGTTCAGTGTAAAGCTTTTAGTGCTCGGTACATATTATGTTATGTACTATATGTTTTTATTATGATTTTGATAAATTGCATGTCAGTTATAAATTTTTCCAGCCTTAGTGTATTAACTTACAACCATTTCCACACATAACTGGCGTCTGAGTTTTTCTTTGTTGTCAGATATTTACACCATTTATGGGTACTCCTTAAGAATTGTTTAGCGAGATAAACATTGAGTGTAAAAACTAAGAATTATGGGCTGCGATTATGGCTCAGTGGTAGAGCACTTGCCTAGCATGTGTGAGGTACTGGGTTTGTGCTGTAGTCTGGCTAGGCACAAAATAACCGAGCTACCACACAGCCTTGTAGATTCAAACAGCAACTCTTTATTCCTGAACTCTCACCGACACTCTACCCACACTTCCTGTGAACACACTGCCTCCACCTGGCTCCACGCCCCAATTCTCTCAGAACCCCTCGGGAACTCCAAAGGAGCGGGGCGCCTGAGGCAACAGGATAAGCCCTAATCCCAGCAGGATCCGCCCTAATCCTGGAGCCGCCCTATTCCCAGCAGGATCCACCCTAAACCCGAGGATCCACCCTAAACCCGGAGCCCACCCTAATCCCTGAGCAGGGTCACCTTTCAACCCAAAATGCCATGCATCATTCCTACTTGGCTATGGCTCTTAGCAAGTTTGGTCCTTAGCATCACATAAAAATAAATAATATAAAGGTATTGTATCTATCTACAACTAAAAAAATTTTTTTAAAAATTACCAGAAGTACGACATTAGTTACTTAGTTGGTCTTTTTGTTTTGTTTTGTTTAAGATTCCAGTCCAAATTAAGAAGTGATTGGGAGGGAAAGTAATTGTTTATGAGTTGTATGAGGGTAACACAATTAAAAATTATGTAGTAGAAATCAAACACTCTAAAAATGGCTGTTATATAAAAATAATTATTTCTCTCACTGGTTCATAATTTTTCATTTTAGTTCAAGTTATACTTATCTAAATTATTTAAGATTACCTTAAGTATAAGAATTAGAATAAATGCTATGAATTACTCTCAGATTTTGGGCTTCACCTTTCCATTGACTCTTTTTAGTCATAGTTCTTTATTTATGCCCATCTCTTTGTAAGAAGAAATATGTCCATTATGCTATTGGCGGAGCTGAATGTGGATGGCATGTTATCAGAACAAAGGTACCTTGTCAGGTATGAAGTAGGAAAAAGCTTTCACTTTTATTCTCAAATAACTTTCTCTCTCTCTCTGGAAAGAAAAAAAAAGAATTAGAATGACTGCAGCCAGCTGCAGTTGTCACACACCTGTAATCCCAGCAATTAGGAGGTTGAGGCAGAAAGATCACAAGTTCAAGGCAAGCCTCCCCAACTTAGTAAGACCCTGTCTCAAAATTAAAAAATAAAAATAAAAATAAAAAGGGCTGTGGATGTAGCTTAGTGGTAAATCAAACCTGAGTTCAATCTTCAGTACCATAAAAATAAATAAATAAGAAATAGAATGATTACATTGTTTTCTCATTTTTTCCCTATATATTTCATATTTCTCTCTCCCAGCTCTTTCCATTGTGTCCTTTGGTCCGTTATTTTTATGCTAAAAAATACTTTTCCAGAACAGAACAGAGGCAGTATAGCATTATAGATAAGATAGTGGGTTTGGGGCTAGATTCTGGCTTACCCCTTTATTAACTATGTGACTGGAGTTGACTTATTTAATCTCTCAGCCAAAATTTCCTCATTTGTAAAGTTGTGAGAATTAAATGAAAAAATTTAGAGACTAGTACATGGTGAATACTCAGTAGATGTTAGGTACTCTTATTATCACTTACATTTTTATCACTGCTACTATCAGCCCCAGCCCACAATTCACTTCCAGCCCCATCACTTCCTCTGCTTCCTGTTTTGCTTAAACAGAAAACTTATTCCCAGGACTTGTATTTTGGTGGTATGGCATATTGAACCCAGCAGTGCTCTACCACTGAACTATATTCCTAGCCACCCCCACCTTTTTTTTTTTTTTTTGGTACCTAGGGATGTTTAACTACTGAATCACATTCCTAGCCCCTTTTTTTAATTTAGAGACAGAGTCTTGCTGAGGCTGGCTTTGAGCTCTCCATCCTCCTGCTTCAGCCTCCCCAGCCACTGGGATTACAGGCATGTGCCACAACGACTGGCCCCTAACCCTTTTTGTATTTTTTTTTGGGGGGGGGGGAATGAATTTTTATTTGGGCTTCTCACAGTGGTTAGAGCCACTCTGTCTTCAAAACAGTCACAGCACAGGAAATGCGTCACTGAGACTGCCCAGAAAAATCTGACCAGCTGAATCTTATTGCTTAAAATACACATATTCACAATAACTGACAAATGGTGATGTGCCTCACACAGGAATGTGTTAGCATTTGCAAATCTTCCGACTGTAGCACCAAACCCTCCACCAATCCTTTCCTTCTCATTCATCTGGAAAACCAGACTCAACCTAGTCTCTCTGACCCCCCACTATTCCTTCAGTTCCCTGTCTCCTTCTCTGAGCAGGAAGCCTCCAGCAGCCGTGGCCAACCGCGGCTTACTAGTTAAGCCCAGCTTGGCCACTGTGCTTCTTCTCAGACCTTCAGGGTAAGATGCTTCAGTGAAGCCAACAGTCAATACTCAGACCAGCTCCCCGCTGGGGAAAGAAACCTAGAGGGTCAGATTCATCCATTTGATCAGTTAAATGAAGAAGGATTCATTTTGGTAAAACTTGTTCTCCTTGGAGACACTTCAGTGAGTTGTCTGTGATTTCCAAAGGAAGGTGGAAGGTAGGCATCTGAGGGCTGCTGTGCTGTGGCACCCCTCTGGCCACACGCCAGTCCTCCTGTGTCCACTGAACTCAGCAAAGGAAGGACTGTGCTGTGGCACCGTGGAGTCTGCCAAAGCCTCCTGGCAATTCTGGGCAGGCTGATGTCTGGGCCACAGCAAGGCCAAGCTTGTCACTGAATAACCAATCAAGCTTCTGTGTGGAATTCCACTTTTGCTTTCTGTCTCAAATGGTTGTAGACACCCTCTGGGGGCTGAGACTGAAGGCAAGGAGTAGCGGAGGGAGGCAGACAGGTTCAGAGCACGCTTCCATTAACAGGGACAGGACACAGCCTCTGAGTGTCCACGGAGCAATGTGCAAATTGCAGTGATAAGCAGAGTGGAACCTCTACCTTGAGCGCAGTATCTCAGGCAAACACAGGGGGCGCTGTCGACAATGCTGCCAAATACACTCGAGTACACAGTCAGACGTTTGTTCGGTAAACAGTAAATGCATAAAATAAATTACCTTGAGAGGGCCATGTTTGCTTCAGACGTGTGGTTAACGTGAGCAGGATGGCTGCCATTCAAAGTATCTTCACAGGAACACGGGGTGTGGGGCTCACACACACAGGAGACACACACACACACTACAGGTCATTCAAAGTCATCGTCTACAGACTTCACTTTGTTCCACATGAATTTTGGTTCTGTGGAATTCAAACAGACACTCATTCACCTCACAGCCTTGGATTTGTCTGTATGTATATATATATATATATATATATATATATATTTTTTTTTTCCCCTTTTTTACTATAACATCAATGCTTAGCCTGAATATCATCATTCAAAAGTGGGAGAAGAACCAAACTTTTCATATGAACAGGGATGGATGGGGAATGTTAGTTTTAGCTGATTGCTTTCTCCTTTCAGAGTTTTCCTATCAAAGCTCAACTGGTTGTCCAAAACCAGATGACAGTAATAAGGATCCTGTGGTCCTTCTGGAGGCTGCCTCCACCTCCCACCTAGGCCACCAAAACTCCTTACATAGGTTACAGAAAAGTGAGTCATCCGACCCCCATGGGCTAGGGACAGGGAGAGAGCATGAGAACCACAGATAACCAAGGGATTTCTTCCAAGTGGTCAGTTTAAAACAAACACACAACAACAAGAGACTTATTCAAAATCAAAGAGAAAATACTGTGTGAGAACCAGACTACGGGGCTGCTTTTCCCAGGACCCACAGCTTCCTCAGACCCTCTGTTCATAAGAGTACAAGGAGATACAAAGTCCTGCAGACCATGTGCTAGGGATAGACAAGGACACTGGTCACCTGTGGGCACAGACCAAAGGGCAGAGATGCAGGAAGCTGCACTTCTCTCCACTCCCAGATTTAGGGCCTACTGCTCAGAGCTAACCCACTCCAAGCCCACACACAAACATCTCCCTCTGGCTCAACTGCAGCCACATTCGTGGAAGGCTAACCTGGGAAAGCACAAACTTCCCTTGTCCAGAAGAGAATTCTTGCAAGCCCACTGGTAAGGTTCTTGTTTCTAGCTGGCTTTTGTTGTTTGTTTTGTTTTTAAACAAAGAAAAAGCAGTCTACTCTTCCACACCTGAGCCTGCTGGGAAGGAAGGGGCCCCTCCAGGATGCACAGTGGTACATTTTCTTGTCACCTGGAATTTGAGAGATCAACAAGCCTCCTACCAACCTGTCCACCAGCTCTCATCCTCCCACAGAATCAGCTCAACTCTGGCTGTGCAGACACTGGCAGCTACAGCTGACAATCCCTAGGCCTCTGTGGCTTCCTTCTTCAACCAGGGCTAAGAAGGGTTGCTTCTGCTGAACTGAGACACAACAAAGTTCTCTTAAAGTAAAACCAGAGCATAAATCCACTACATCACCAAGAATCATTGCAGGACACAGTCCCAGTCCCCTTCTTTGGGGGCTTTAAAACACATCTCTTTGACCAAAGCAGATAGGTGAGATATGACTTGAAAGGGGGGAAGAAGGGGATGAGGAATGAGTCATGGAACCAACTTCTCAGCCCTCCACTGCCGCAGTCTGTCTGGGCACAAAATAACCGAGCCACCACAAAAGCCTTGTAGATTCAAACAGCAACTCTTTATTCCTGAACTCTCACCGGCACTCTACACGCACGTTCTCGGAAAATACACTCCCTCCACCGGGCTCTGCGTACCAATACTCTCAGAACCCTGCGGGAACTCAAGGAGTGGGCGCCTGAGGCAGCAGGATACGCCCTATTCCCAACAGGATCCACCCTAAACCTGGAGCCACCCTAATCCAGCAGGATCCACCCTAAACCCAGAGCCACCCTAATCCCTGAGCAGGGTCACCTTTCAACCAAAAATGCCATGAGTCATTCTTACTTGGCTATGGCTCTCAGCACTCCACAATACTGTGCTTTTGTGAGGGAGAGGCACCCACACCCCAGACTGTACTTGGAGATGTAGGGAAAAAGCAGGAGAGGAGAAGGGAAAAAAAAGTGGCTGTACCACTTCCTCTGAAAGTCACTTAATGCTTCTCTCGTGAGCCTCCCTTACCCTGGTTGCTTTGCCAAGTTTCCGGGCACAGGCAAAGCCTACTCTAGCTGGGGGAGCTGCTGCTCTGGGAGTTTGGCGAGTCCTGCTCATTGATGGTGTTGAGCAGCAGGCACGCGGGTGGCCGAGGCAGGTGGGAATGTCCAGGCTCTCGAGCCTGCTCCTCAGAGGGCTGGCAGAGCCCTTCCTCCTCATCACCAGGAGGCCTCACGTGGCAGCTGTCACCGAAGTCCAGGGGCCCATCCAGAGCATCATCAATGAGTATGGTGAACTCTTTGAAGTCATCGTCATGATGGCCCCGGTTGCACACACACACCTCAATGCCTGAGTCACCTGTGAAGCGGTGATGTCTGCCAGGTGTCTTGTCTTTGCTATCGGGGAGCACACTGCCATGTTCAGAGCTGGAATTTTTCAGTAGCTCCTCCTTACATTCTGAATCCTTGTCCAGGAAGGCCTCTAGGTCTAGCTCCCCCAGGCCAGCCACTGAGCCACTGGGCTCCATTCCGGGGGCTTTGGTGGCTGCTCGGTCAGCTGGCACGTCAGAGGGCTCAGGATCAGCAATGCTTGGGGGTCTTGTGCTGCTTCTGCTGGGCACAGACAAGGGGCTGCTCTGTGCCCCCTGGGAGCCCCTGGTAGGATCAGCACCCGGAGGGCTGCCACCTGCAGGACCACACTGAGGATGCAGCTGCTGCTGCTGCTGTAGCTGGAAGGCACTGTACGGCGGGGGAGGAGTTGGAGGTCGGTTCACCACTTCCTCATAAGGAGGTAGTAAATAGTTTGGCAACAACCTGAAATAAAACGGCAGTGCTGAGTAATTGTGGGCTTCCCGGTAGGCAATCAGGTTGATTTCATGTTGCCGCTGCTGGGCCTGAAGGCGGTGCTTGGCTCGGCGGTGGTGGCAGACACAGCAGCAGCTCAGGATGATGATGATCGTCCACACCAGCCAGAACCACCAGAGTTCATCGTAGTAGTTGGAGCACTGAGACTGTCCACAGCAGTGTCCTGTGTCACAGATGTAGCTTTGATTGTTGGTACCCACACAGGCTTCCTTATCCTGCGGGGGTTCAGCCCTGACTGACAGGGGGCTGGGCAGTGCCTGGAGGAGCAGGAGTGCCATGCCACCCAGGAGCCTTCTCTCCATCCCCCTCCTGCTCCTGCTCCTCTGCCACAGCTCCGCCACCTCCCTCCTCCTCCCTCTCTTCTTCCCCCTTTTTATATTTTGTTTTGAGATGGGATCTCACTAAGTTGCCCACACTGGCCTTGAACTTGTGATCTTCCTATCTCAGCCTTCTGAGTAGCTGGGATTATGGGTGTGTGCCACCACACCCAGAAGGACATAGTTTTTGTTTTATAAACTTATTGGGATTGTTCCATTTCTGTCATCCAGTACTTGTTTCACAAGGCCAAGGTCAGCATTCATCAAGTTCCCATTCCTACCTCAAAAATTTCCCCCAATTTGTTAACTATCCCATTTTTCGACTCACTGAATTCTACTATATCATCTTGTCTGTGTTTATAAATCATAAGTTCTATGAGGGTTGCATCTTGAGCAAGTAGGTCTATGGTTGACCTTTATCTAAAGTCTTTGGATCCTGCCTCAAAACTTTGTTTCACCTTTAATTTTCACTTTTAGAGGAGACTTAAGGACATCTCTGTATTAGGTTTTTATTGATGCTGTAATGAATTACCACAAAGTTAACTAAAAAAAAATTTATTATTGTACAGTTCCGGAGGTCAGAAGTCCAAAATGGGTCTCATTGTAAAATCAAAATGTCAGCAGGGCTGAATTCCTTCTGGAGGCTCTAGAGGAAGTCATTTCCTTGCCTCTTGTAACTTTGGAGACTACCTGTATTCCTTGGCCCATGGCCCCTTCCATCTTCAAAATGAGCATTGGCCAGTTGACTCTCAGTTGTCTCACTTTGCCTTCCCTGCTTGCCTCATCTGCTTACTAAGACCTTTTAATAACCTTGGACCTACAGGATTATCTCCCCATCTCATGATAAATGATTGGAAGCTTTCATTACATCTGTAACCTTTATTCTCTTTTATCATAAAACATAATATAGTCACAGGCTCCAGGGAGTGGGACAAAAGATCTTCAGGAGCCATTACTCTGTCTACTATAATCCATATATAATACCTTTGCTACATATTTCCTTATCTTCTCAACTCTGATGACCTACCTCTATTCCAACTTAGTCATTCATAGCCATGGGCCACCCTTTGTACTTTTCCATTGCTCAAAAGTGCCTCAATTCTGAAATCTTAAACTATAGAATTTTTCTTTCTAGTCACAATTTCTAATATTATATAAAAATAGCCAGGGGAGATTATATAGGCCTTATTTACTATGTTAAGTGTAGTCTGGATTTGATCCTAAACAAAGTGAGAAGTCAGTGCAGAGTTTCATCACAGAGAAAACAAATGAATGGTCTAAAGTCAAGGAAACCACCTTTTAAATATGGAAATATTGGATTAATCATATTAATTTTTCCCTCTTAATCTGATTTTAATTAGGAAAATGAAGAAGACAAATGTGGACCCTTAGGAGATGATAAAGAGATGGCCAGAGAATCTACTGACAAAAAACAGGTAAACCATTACCATTGTTACAAAAAAAAAAAATTGTTCATAATAACAAAACAAAAGGAATAATATAAAGAAGGATAAAAGACCCTCTTACACCCAAGTTCTCCATTTCTACTTCCAAGGGGGTTTCTTAATATTCTTCTAAAAATATGTGCATATACAAACCTATATGTCTGTCCTATTTTTAAAAAGTCAAATTTGTGATATGCTTCTATATCTTGCTTTTTTAAATTTTTCAAATGTAACTCTTAATACCGTCTAACATTAATTCATAGAAATATGTTGAAAAACATTCTCCTATGGTTCTCTCAAGTGCCTATATATCTTGGTGGTTGTGTCAAAAATGCAAGGCATCGATTGCTCTTTATGTAGGTCATTTCTTAGAGTTGTGTTTGCAGCAAGCAAAATTGAGGGTTTAGGTAATGTCCCTCTCAGGGGCAAAGAGCAGATCGGATTACTGTTGGCTGTAAAACATCAGAATCCCCAGGCTCAGTGTCCCCATCCTATAACACAAACTGGCAACTATCTGCATCACCTCCCATGGGACTTGAGGGCAAGATACCATCACAAATAAGATGCTCATACTGCAGTACTGTGAATAGTAAAATCCTTTCTTTCTGACCCAAGAGTTTCATGTCTTCTAAGAGTATATATGAAAGAATAATAGGTTAACATATTAGTTGCTAAGCAGATTAAAATCAAAGGCTAGACTTGAAACATAAACCTTGTTCTTTCTAATATTTCTTAGTATTTTCTTTTTACTTTATTTTTAAGTTTCCCAGAGATTCTGATTCATTGGTGTGGAATAGAGACTAAGCATGTATATGCTGAAAAGAATTACCTGGGTGATTCCGGTGTACATTCTGGATAAGATTTCCCAATTTGTTCTTTGAGTGAGTCTCTAAAATACCCAAAAAGAATATAGAAATAATTTCTCAGAATATTTAGATGTTTGAGAAACATAAAGGAAAAAATAGTGAATCACTGTTTTAAGTAAATGTAGTAAATACATAAAACAGACTGTCCTCTTTTGCCCATGTTTTAATGTAAAACTCTGTGACTAGGATTACATAGACGACTTGCCAAGATGTTAGTGAAGTGAAGCAAAATCAAGATCCAGAACAGTGATTCACTGAAAAGATTCAGTCTTCTGGGAGTTGCAGTAAGTGGAAGTGTCCAAATGGAATGCAACTTAGGCTTTTATTTGTTTTGTTTTTGTTAAGTTTGGGATGGAAAAATCTTTGCCTCAAACTTGAATATTTTGGCCTCAACTAGAAGCAAAATGAAATATATATTCATTCTTCCTGGAGGTACAAAGAATTCTAGGGGGGAAAAAAAGGTGGTAAACTTGGCAGAAAAGATTGTTCTGATAAAAAATAACTTGATGAATATGCTTCCCTTTACTTAAGTAACAATTTTTAAAAACATCTTTTGTGGTCAAAATTTCTGGTTTTATTTCTGTCTAATTAACTACTCGACAATTTAAAGTTAACATCATTCAATTCAGTTGCAGCCACTCCCACTGATTGTGTTAATTTGGTTAAACAACATGGGCTCTGGTACCAAGAACTGGGGGACAGTACTGGGGCACTTTACCACTGAACTGCATCCCCAGCCCTTTTAGTTTTTTGAGACAGGATCTCACTAAGTTGCTAAGGCTGGCTTTGAATTTGCAAGTCTCCTTCCTCAGCCTCCTGAGTAGCTAGAATTACAGGCAGGGGACACCGTGCCTGGTTGGTGCTAAGATTTTTTAATAAGGCATCATCAGTTGTTTTCTAAAGTGACCAGTTTTTAAACAAACTTGATGGAAGTATTCAGAAGTAGACGATAACAAACTTTGTATTTAAGGAACATAAGATTCTAAAATAATATGGAAAGGTAAATTTGAAGCTCATTTTAAAAGCTAATACAGACAAATCTTTCATATTTTAGGTGTATTCTTAGATGTAGGTTTTATAAATGTCTTTGTAGTTTAGGAGATGGTTGGTTAGCTCAGAAAGGGAATTTCATGAAATCTCTATTCCTTTTTTCCAGGCATTTCACAAAATATCCTTCCTAATTCTGAACGTTTATACTAATAAATCAACTGACACTTGACTGTTTTATTTTATAGTACTTTGGTCTTATCCTTAAAGTGATTTCAAATATGTTCTGATAGGGAATCAATATAGAGTAAAATCCTTTTGGAAGGAGGTGGGGAATAAGGGACACCCTATCTTCAGCCCAAGTTCCTCTCATGTCATGACTACATTCCCAAACCCAAGGATCAAGTTTACATTCCTTACTATAGAATTGTCTTTATTTTTGTTTTGCTGTAAAAACAACATAGACTACTTTGTGCCTTAGGTAGAACTGATTTTGTTTTTTACTTCTCTGTTTTATCTGATTTTTTTTTTTTTGTACTTATGAGGATTGAACCCAGATCCTTATACCTGCTGGTCAAATGTTCTGCAACTGAACTACATCCTCAGCATGCCCCACTGCCACCTTTATTCTTTTTTATTTTGAGGTGGGATCTCCCTGAGTTGCTCAGTCCAGTCTTGAACTTGAGATCTTCCTTCCTCAGTCTCCTATGTAGCTGGGGTTATAGGCACGCACCACCTTGACTAGCTGTTTTATCTAATATTTTATCTAATATTATCTAATATTAGTATTATTATATGAGCTTCTTTTTCACTGATATTTTCGTAAGTCAGGGTACTTTAGATTCTAAGTAGCAGAAAGTCTTCACTCAAAGAGTCTCATTAGAACTCTAGAATCCTAGGTAGTGTCCAGCCTGCACGGCTTAATTTCAGGTCAGCCCAGGCCCCTCTGGAATACTGCCAAGGAACTCACTTTGGCTGTCAGTTCTCTTTCCTGACACCTGACAGTATGACTTTTGTTTGTGTTTTATAACTTACCTATATAATCATAGTAAGGGACCCAGATACATGAGTCTATCATAGTGTTGAAAAATCTTCAGCCAGTTTTTAGGATGTTGAGAATTTTCTTTTTTTTCAGTGATGACCTCTCTTTCATTCTGCTTTTTACTATCTGTGAATTCTTTTGGAAAGTTCTCTGGGCTTGATTTATCCATGTGTAAAATGAGAGGGGTTTCCAAATCTTTCCTTTTTAACATCTAGAAGCTTAATACCTAGTAGTCCTAGACTGGATGGTGTAAAAACCAAGTGAAACCAACTTGGTTCCTGCCCTTTACTAGGTTAAATTGCATTCATCTTTCACTAGAATAAAATAATGATAATTTGCACATTTAATTGTTTGGTTAGTAGAGCCTCAGTTTTAAAAATTTCTGATCTAAAGTAAACACAAAATTTCAGAAATTGTTTTGGACCTAATGCAAAATGTACTTTTGAACAAACTATGTTCAGATAAAGAACTAATCAAAATTTTCATTTTATTAATAAATCAAGTATTATGATAATCATGAGTTATAATTAATAACTTCTTATTTTGTATCTCACTGTAGGTGAAGAAAACTGGTCTTGTGGTGGTGAAAAACATGAAAATTGTTGGTCTCCATTGTTCTAGTGAAGATCTACATGCTGGGCAAATTGCTCTTATTAAACATGGGTCAAGGCTGAAAAACTGTGATCTTTATTTTTCCAGAAAACCATGTTCTGCTTGTTTGAAAATGATTGTAAATGGTAAGTGCAGATAAGGCTTTGTTGGGGATTAGGAATAGATCTGAGAGCAAACAAGGGAACAAATTGCCTAAATCTCACAGAGATCATTTGGAAATACTGATGTATGTCTGAAGACAGTTTGAGACACTGTGCAAAGAGTCAGAAAACAAAGATGCTGTCCTCAACTCTGTCCACTAGTCAGCCTAATGACCCTCAGTGAATTAGTAGACTAGTGCTACTATCTCTAAGAAACCCTAAGATCTCAGTGGTTTAATGTATTAGACATCACTCCTGTCATAGCCTAGGTGTTGCTGAGCAACAGGCAGCTTTTCTCTGTGTAGTTGATTCACAGGCCTAGGCATCTTCCATCTTACTACTGTTGTCATACCTGGGGCTTTGAGTCCTCTGAAGCCAGAAGAGGAAGGAAAGAGTAGAGAAGGCATAACTGCTTTTAAAAGCACAGGCCTCAGGAATGTCTGGGGGTACAACTCAGTTGTATAATGTTTGCACAGTATGCAGAAGACTCAGTTCAATCCCCAGCGCCACCAAAATGAAAAAAAAAAAAGTTTTAAAAACAAATAACTAATATGGCTCCTAATCCTTTCCCTCAGGGTGTTACTTGGAGACCAAAATAACAATTTAATGAATACATCATCTAGTGTCCAATGATTGATATATGCTGTAAGTGATAAAATGATCTCAGAGGTGAAACTGATCCCTGTGGGTTGTCATGTTATGTAAGTTTGGGGCTTAAACTGGATCCTGATAGGTCACTCATACAGGAAGGGGAACTCATGGGTGGTCAGGAACAGCAGTCTTTGTAGCATCACTCAGTTGTAAGAAGAAAAGTCCAGTATTTGAAATGAAAGATTATTACTAAGAAAATAGTGACAGATGGCTTATAATGGTAGATTGGGGCTTTAGTGGAGAACCTTGAAAAATTACATAGCCTCTGAGCTTTATCTTATGGGACAGAATTCCAGGACCTGTTTTTTAACTGTTTTTATGTACATCCAAGTCTTAAAAATACTGATCAGATCTATGTTGAGGTTGGTGCCTTGAACGACACAAGGAAAAACTTCCAGGAGAAAGGTCATGTGGTTAGGAGCTTCCTGGCCTGCAACAAGTATTGCAGGCCTTCAGGTATGTTAAGAGCGACTCTGTAGTCTCTCCACTCTAGTTCCTAATAGAGAAGATAGGTATCACAGTGGTCATGGCTTTTTTTCCTCCTTTGCCCAGTTAACCAGGCAAATTGGACATTCATTTAATCATTTATGTTCAGTTGACTTATGATTCCCATTATAGATGATATGCAGCTATTAAAGGTTTTTGAGCAAGATGAAACATGATTAAATTTTTGTTGTTTTTACAGAATTGGATCAGGGAGAAGTTAGCTTGCTTAGCCGACTGATTAGTTCAGATGGTGACATTGATATAGAAAGGAAAGAATGTGAAAGAACCAAAATATGTTGACTGATGTGTTCTAGAGTCAAGGGAGAAGAATGAATAAAAGAACTGCCTGTGCTAAAAGCACCCCTGATCACCTCAGAGCTAAGGCTTAGAATCGCAGGGGAGTGCGAGTCACTCACTACAGCTTCAGTCTGCCAAGAGAGAGAATAAAGTGTGGAAAGAGACCTAGGATGCATTTATGCTGGTGATAGACCCATAAGTAAATAAAATTGCTCTGTTGGTTTAAGTTTACATATTAGTTATCTTGGGAAGGTGGCATGGTTGAACTTATGCTGTAGCTGAACTCCTTTAGTTCCTATCACTGTTACTTCCGGTTAAACCAAAGCAGTCATTTCCTAGCACGGTGGTTCTCCTGATGGTCTACAAGGTCAACATATTTTCACAGTAATGCTACATTCACACCAAAGTGACCAAAACAGTGGTGAGTAAAACCACTGTTGCTATAGACGAAGCAAACTGCCCTAGCAGTCCTTATGCTCTTTACTGCACAAAGAAATAGTTTCACATAAGAAGGGCTTTTATGAAACAGTAAGAGTCATTAATTTCATTAAATTCTAATCCTGAATACACATCTTTTTAATATTCTGTGTAAGGAAAGAGGTCTTTGTTATAAAATACTTTTATTACAAACCTAATGTGAAGGTTGCCTTAAGGAAAACCACTTATGTGACTGTTTTGAGTTGCAAACTAAAATGATTCACTTTTTTCATGAAACACCATAATTTGACAGACTATGGTTATTAGCTATTTTGCCTCAAAAATGAAGTGAACCTGTCACTTTCAGGAAACAATTGACATTATTTGCTGCTAATCATAAAATTTGAGCATTCAAAGTGAAAATTGGAATTTTGGAAAACCATATCCACCATTTTGAGCTTGACAACTTCTTGATATTTATACTCTTAGGATGAGATTGGTGGTGATAGTTATGGACTTTTTTTGAGTATTGTAAAATCAATATCACATTTTCCAAATGACCAGTGCACAAAACTACAGAATCATGCATGAGTAAAACAGCCATTCTAAGTACAAGACAGACCAGGGTATAGATACAAAAAGTTTGTTGATAAGGTTTCAGATTTCACATTCTAATCTTTTTTTTTTTTTTTTGGTGGTGGTGGTGATGGTGCAGGCATCAGGGATTGAACCCAGGGCCACCTAACCACTGAGCCACATCCCTACTCTTTATATATTTTTTAATTTTGAGACAGGGTCACACTAAGTTGCTTAGAACCTCACAAAGTTACTGAGGCTAGCTTTGACCTCACAATCCTCCTGCCTCAGCCTCCTAAGCCATTACCTGGGATTACAGGCATGGGTCACAGTGCCTGGTTTGTAACTAGTCTTTAAGAAACTATTTCTTGTCAAATATTTACAATAGTGTCAAAAAAGAATGTTTACAATTATCTAACATGGCTGTTCAAATACTCCTTTTTCAACTACATGTCTGTATGAGGCAGAATAATTTTAATATACTTCAGTGTAAACAACCTGTTGGCAACAGATTGAAAGCAGAAGTGAATTTGAGAATCCAGCTGTCTTTCTATTAAGCCAAATACTAAATACATTTGTAAAACTTCAATTCTGGGCTGGGGATGTGGCTCAAGCGGTAGCGCGCTCACCTGGCATGCGTGCGGCCCAGGTTCAATCCTCAGCACCACATACAAACAAAGATGTTGTGTCCGCCGAAAACTAAAGAAAATAAATATTAAAAATTCTCTCTCTCTCTCTCTCTCTCTCTCTCTCTCTCAAAAAAAAAAAAAAAAATTCAATGCCATTTTTCTCACTAACTTTGGTTAACTTGGAAAATAGTTTCTTATCATAAAACTGTTATGTATATTAATGACTCTTTTTGTTATTTTAAATGAATTAATAAATATTTTTAAATTTTTAATAAAATAAATATCAAAAGATGCTATCCATACAAACAAAAACTCTTTGGAGTCCTCAATAAAGGGATCCTAAGATCAAAAAATTTGAGAACCTCTGCTATAGCACTTACCAGTAGTATTGAACATTTTAAAGGTGATTCATCTTCCCTTCTTGGATTGGGATTACTAGGAGCAACTAAGATTCATAGATGAACGTTTTACCATTGATGCTAGTCAGGAAATGGATTATGAGAACTTGAACAGGGAAGATGAAATGCAGCAAGGGGAAAGACTCTATCTGAGCTGTGAGGCCTTTGAAATTGCTTTGCAGCTCAAACCACAGTGAGTTAGGAATAGCAGAGAATAGGCAGAAATACACATCTGTTTACTTTTTAGCTCATCTATTACTTTGAAAGATGGGACACCAGAGGGCTATCTGTCTATTCACTTCTGGGCACAATCATAAAAAAAGTCTCTCCAAGCTGAAATTACATGAGACTACCAGCAAGAAAAAAGTCTTTGTTGTAAACTATTCGTTAATTGACAAATATTTGGGTATTTGTGTATAAGGTACCTTCATTGTTCAAGTTCAGATACAAATTAAAATATTTTTTCATATGTTTGTTATCTAGTTATATTTTCTCTTTTGTAAATTTTTCATATCTTTTGTCTCTCTTGAGATCTCATTCTTTTTGTCAATTCATATGTACTCTCAATGATTTAAAGTCTTTTCTGTGTATTAAAGATTACCAATCTTTCCTCTGCCTCATTGATTGAAAAATGTTCCTTTATTGTTTTGTCTTCAGTGTTGTGGCTTAAATAAATTAATATTGCTGACACACCACTACTCTAGCATCACATAAGTAATTTTCATGTTATGAATTCTATGTGGACACTTTTTTATAACTATGAGGAATATATGATTTGTCTAACCATTCCCTATGTTGATTGTCTATTATTTTTAACATTTTTAATGTTTTAAAGAATGCTGCATTAACTGTGTATACATGAATTTTTCTTTCCAGAAGAATTCTGAGTCCAAGACAGAATCATTTGTAATGCATTGATGAATTGTTGATTTCTAAATACAAAACTTTAGACATGACCAAATGCTATTTGTAACATTTCTAAAAGCAGCCATGGCACTGTGGAAGGTGCTGGTATACAGTCCCAGTGCTGGGCTTTGGGACCATACTCAGCAAAATCAGTGAATCCACAAATCCTTCCCCTGGGCTCTGTTTGGGGTCAATTAGCTTTGTCTCAAAAAGGCAAAAGTGTAAATATTTTAAGTGTATAGGCAATGTCATATCTGTCACAGCTACTCAACTCTGCCATGCAAAGGCAGCCAAAGATTGTATAAATGAATCAATGTGTCTAATTTTGTGTTATGATATAGTCTTGTGTTTTTTCAAATTAGTTAACCTGTGAGCTGTACAAAAATTCTCAGTGGACCAGATTTGGCCTGTGGATAATTATTTGCCAAACCTCAGATGGATTAATAGGTGACTTCATGGTAGACATTTATTGGGCCTTCTTGATCTACTGCATTGCTAGGATGGGTTTATCAAGAAAATGTATATTCAGCATGTATCAGATAATTATCTTTCATATTTTGTATTTCAGCTGGAGTTAATCGAATTTCATATTGGCCTGCTGATCCAGAAATAAGTTTGCTTACTGAGGCTTCTAGTTCTGAAGATGCAAAGTTAGATGCCAAAGCTGTGGAAAGACTGAAGTCAAACAGTCGGGCCCATGTGTGTGTCTTACTTCAACCTTTGGTGTGTTATATGGTGCAGTTTGTAGAAGAGACTTCTTACAAATGTGACTTTATTCAAAAAATTACAAAGACAGTACCAGATGCTAACATTGACTTTTATTCTGAATGTAAACAAGAAAGAATAAAAGAATATGAAATGATATTTTTGATTTCAAATGAAGAAATACATAAGCAAATCCTGATGACTATAGGTCTGGAGAACCTGTGTGAAAATCCCTACTTTAGCAATCTGAGGCAAAACATGAAAGACCTTATCCTAATCTTGGCCACGGTAGCTTCCAGTGTGCCCAGCTTTAAACACTTTGGATTTTATTGTAGTAATCCAGAACAGATTAATGAAATTCACAATCAAAGTTTGCCACAAGAAATTGCAAGGCACTGCATGGTTCAGGCCAGGTTATTGGCATATCGGACTGGTGAGTTAAATGCTTAGTTCATAAGTTGGGGCAAATTGGTTTGGTTGTATTTGTCTCAGAAGTAAAGTGGTATGCATCTTATCTATGGCAGAGTTCATTTGCTCCTAGATATTAAAGTTTGGCTGTTCATGCTAAAGTTTGTGAGACTCTTGTGTAGGCAACTCTTCCTATGAGCAGTTTGGAACTTCCTTGTGGCCCTTTATTCAGCACTACATTTATAATTCAGGACCAAATTATCTAATTCGTCTTTCTCCTTGCATTTATGATTTCTGTTTATCAAGCCTTCCACTAAAAATGGAACAAAGAGAAAACTAAAATCACTCTTGTTAACTCTTCAATATTGTTTGTATTGAGTTTTTGATGAAAACTTGGAAATCTGTAAAATTAAAAATATGAATTCAAAATAACTAATACAATGAAAGTAAAGGAATGTTGGTTATTGCAGATTTTCTCAGTTGCCGGTATGTCTTTAATCAGAAAACTGAGAAATTAAACATTTTTACTTTATTATGTTGTGTATGTGGAGAAGGAAAATATTACTTGAGAATATTCTTTATTGTGCTAAAATGTATCTGTATTTCCAATTATGGAGCAGTATTTTCAAGAATTACTAGATGTAGTATTTTTTGAAAGAGAATCATGACCACTTTAAAAAATGCAACTTGAAAATAAGTGGGAAAAATGCAGGCAGGGAGAACAGTAGAGTAAGATTAGTTTGTGGAGTGGACTATAATAGGAATTTTAAATTATCCCAAAAAGGAGAAAAGAAGGAAAATTAGAAAAGGTCCATGCCAATGCTATTGGTTAGATTGAAATAAATTCAGTAGAATGGAGGAACTCAACTGACAGCATGTTTTGCAGAATCACCACAGAAACTTTAATAAAAAGTACAGATGCTCAAACTCCTCCCCAGACCCTGTTCAACAATTGCTCTAACCAAGTGTGATCTAGGTCTGTTTTTAAAAACTTCTTCAAGGAGCCAGGGATGGTGGCACACTCCTGTAATCCCAACTACTTGGGAGGCTGAGGCAGGAGGATCATAAGTTCAAGGCCAGTCTGGGCAACTTGGCAAGACGCTGTCTCAAAGTTTTAAAAAAGAATAAAAAGGGCTATGTGTGTAGCTTAAGAGTAAAGTGCCTCTGGGTTCAATAGACCAGTCCAAAAAAAAAAAAAGACATGATGAAAATGAATTCCAAAACCTCTGAAGTTCTAAAACAAATTGCAAGTGGGGGTTTAATAATTGCTTTTTAAATGATTAATAATGAGGATCCACAGAGGTGTTGTTAAATGAATGTTTCTTGGATATTAGAGTAGCAAAAAGTGACAAAATGTGTTCAGACTCATGGGGGGAAAGAGTAAAAGGCATCTCATGTTATCTACCCCGTTTAAGTGTTGAGTTGTGATCTCCTTTTGTGTCCTAGAAAAAGTGTTTTCCAAAACCATTTTTATATGGATGAAAACTTATCCTATTGGAAAACACACGTAGTAAAGAATATTCTTTTGGTGTAATTGATCTTTGCAAGGCAGCAGAGCTGCATGCTGATGAAAAAAATCACATCTTTCCCTCTCCTAACAAGGTTTAGTCTATCCCCAGACTGAACAGAAAATGTGGATCCTGAGATTAAAAAACATAACATGAAAAAAAAAATGTTGATAGGAAAAGTAGACTCTTAAAATGAAGAGTTTCTGTTTTAGTTTTTCATTTTTTACTTCTGATTTATGTACATATTAATAGAACTTAACAGTCAAGATTTTGTTTTTGCTCGCAAATATAATTTTATGTTTATAATATTGTCCACTTGCCTCAGAAATGAGCATAAAGCCATTGATTTATATATTTTTTCCTCATGTTAAGGTCTAGGTCACGTAAAGGTCTAGGAAGAAACAAAATTGTGTTTATGCCATAATCTCCTTTTCCTCCACACTGTAGAAACCAGTCACCAGACATCCTCTAGACCTCAGTATCCCATTCATCTTCAGGGCACAGCACACATCTATGTCTTTCCTTAGTTAGCCTTCTGCCCAGTCAGCTGTGAGTTGCTGGAGGAACATTCACCATACTTGGAACACAGGCACTCAAAAAATGGAAGCCTTTGTTGTGGAATTCTTAATGGCAAAGAGGGAGGTGGAGGAAAGGCAAATAGATTGGGTCACAAGGGCCAAACTTCACTCACTGAATTTCTCTGCCTGTTTTCTTACTTACAGAAGGGAATCAACTTTTATCTTTAGATAAAAACGAGATGGTGAATAAAAAGTGCTTAACATAAATTACTTAAATCTTTTGTAGTATGATTTTGAAAGCCTGAGTACTTGAACTGGAGATGGGAGATTTTATTGGCATATCATAACTTTTAAAAAATTAGTTATAAGGCATCCTAGTTTTTTAATATAAAGTGGCACAAATTTTCTTTGTGCTTTTACTGAAAAAAGTAGGTATTAAAATATATATTTTAATTGGAAGGATTTTAACTTGTAAGAAATTATAAGGGGAAGCCATAGTTTCACTCATCAGTATGATAATGAACTTAGGTAAGTTTACAGATAATTCTTATTTTTTTCTATGTAAGTGTATCATCCAAACTACATTAGTCCTCTATTATGATTTTGACAAATACTATGGTTTTCATAATTAGTGTGTATTTGTCTTAGGAATTTGAAACTCACCCTATGTGGAAAGAAAGTAGATCCTAATATGTGTAGTTTCTTTCTTTCTTTCTTTTTTTAACATTTTTTTAGTTGTAGTTGGACACAATACCTTTATTTTACTTATTTATTTTAATGTGGTGCTGAAGATCGAACCCAGTACCTCACACATGCAGGCAAGGGCTCTACTGAGGAGCCACAACCCCAGCCCCCTAATACGTGCAATTTCTGTTTTGGTTTTTTATTTTTTGTTTCACATTAATGGTTTTAAGAAGGACCACTTATTGCAAAAGTTTTTGTTCTGCAAGAGAATTAAAATTTTATGTTTATAACTTCTGCCACTTGATTTAGAAATGACCATAATATCACTAACATAGCATTCTTTTCCCTCTTAAACTATTCAGGTCAAGAAAATGACAATATTTTGTTTAAATCAAAATTTTCTTCATGTATCTTTCACCAGTATGTAGACATGCAGATATAAAAGTTCATAAAGATTTTATTTTTTTATTAAAAGTTTGAACTTTTTGCATAGCAAGAACACTTCCATAAAATATATTTTCCATGATTAGAATGTTAAAAAGACTAGAAGACACATTTGATTGTTGTGAGTAGATATTGTACTCACAATTATCAAAAACTACTTTTTTACTCAGTTACATCATCTATTAGAAGTAGTCATTTAGGAACTGAACAGACTGTTCTCAAAATAAGTACAAATGGCCAATAATTATATGAAAAAAGTTTAGCATCTTTAGGGTAATACAAATCCATCAAGGAAATGCAAATCAAAACTACATCGATGGTCTGAGGCTGTAGCTCGGTGGTAGAACACTTGCCTAGCATGTGTGATGTACTGGGTTTGATCCTCAATACCACATAAAAATAAATAAATAAAATAAAGGTATCATGTACATTTACAACTAAAAATATTTAAAAAAAATAAAACTACATTGAAATTCTATTTCACGCCCAGCACAGTATTGCACACCTGTAATCCCAGTGGCTCAGGGAGCTGAAACAGGAGGATCACAAGTTCAAAGCCAGCCTCAGCAATTTAGCAAGGCCCTAAGCAACTTAGCAAGACCTGGTCTCAAAATGAGAAGTAAAAAAGACTGAGGGTGTGGCTTAGTAGTTAATTTTGATACTGGTTCAATACCCAGTATCCAAAAAAGAAAAAAAGAAATTCTCTTACTCTAGTTAGAATGGCAATCATCAAGAATACAAATAATAATAAATGGTAGTGAGGATATGGGAACTAAGAACAATTGTACGCTGTTGGTGGGAATTAAATTAGCATGGTCACTATAGAAATAAGGATGTAGGTTCCTCAAAAAACTAAAATTAGAATTACCATATGATCCAATTATACCAAAATTCCTTAGTATATTCCAAAAGAATTAAAGTCAGCATATCATGGAGATACCTGTATACCTGTTTTTATCATGCACAATTCTGAATACCCAAGCTACAGATCTACTTGGGTGCCTGTCAACATATGAATGGATAAAGAAAATGTGGTGTATACACACACACACACACACATACAAAGGAGTAGTATTCAGCCATAAATTCATGTCATTCACAGGAAAATTGATGGGACTAGAGATCATCATGTTAAGCAAGAAAGACAAGTACAGCATGTTTTCTCTCATGTGGAATCTAGAAAAGAAAGCAACAAAAAGACAGGAATGTAGAAAGGAGACTGTTAGTTGAAGAGTGGGAGGGGGCAAGGTAAGGGCGGGTAACAGTAGAAATGAGCAAAATATGTTATATATAAATACAATATGAAACCCAAGATTCTGTGCAATTAATATACACTAATAAAAAGAAGTAGTCATTTGGAAACTGACCTGTTAGTGGAGAATCAATGAAGTTGTGCTTAGTTCTGGTTGTAGATTTGAGGTGATCTGACTGGCCACTGCCATATTAGTGGTTTCCACATGTATATCGTGTGTGACTCAGTGAGTAATAACCCAATCTATTTCTTTGCTACCTAGCTCCCATATTTCATACTTTGAAGTATTTACTTTAATACTTCTCTGTAATTAGTAAAGATGTCAAGAATTGTTAGGATGATCATGAAGAATGTTTCAAAGTATATGTTTTTATTATTTTTGGAAAAGTGTATTTCTGAAACTAACAGTCATTGATTTTTACTGAGTTCAATGTCATGTCTTTCAGAGGATCATAAAACAGGAGTTGGAGCAGTCATTTGGGCAGAAGGGAAATCTGTAAGTATGGAAATAAATCTTTAAATATTTAACCTGGATTTTGTTTAAACACACATAGTTCAGTCTTTAGTGCATTGCATTTTTGGTTTTGTTTTTGCTTTTGCTTTCTGAGATAGACTCTCACCATGTTTTCCAGATTGGCCTTGAATTCCTGAGCTCAAGCTTAGCCTTACCCTCCTGAGTGTCTGGCACGACAGGCATGCATCACCGTGTCTGGCAGTACACTACATTTTATTGACCTGTTGAGCTTAATATTTTTCTATTGGTGCATTGTGAAATTCTATAAACATTTGCTCATTCCCTCAATAATTTTTCTAGACTCATCAATTTAACATTTATTAAACACTTTCTATAAGTTAAGCACTGTGTCACAGTGTACATCAGGGATTTAAAGATCACATTTTCTGCCTTTCTTGACCTCATAGCTAATGATGGAGACAAGAGAGGTAAAAAAAGAGACTGGCATATATGTGTAATTATAATCAGTACTGTGAGAACATGGAGAAGGACCTTTACTAGGGGAAACGAGGGAAAATGAGAGAGATTCTTGGAGGTGGTAGCATGCTATTAGTCTTGAATGAGCAGGAGTTCATCAAACAGAAAAAGTTAGAAGGACCAGGAAGATAACATGCAAAGGTAGAGGGCTAGAAAGAGAAGATAGGAAAATGCAAGTGACTTGGGATCCAAAGTCCTTTGTAGAGTGGGCAGAAAATTGGACTGAACCATAAAGAATGTTGTAGACCATGTGAATATCTATAAATATTTATAAATAAATATTAAAATCTATAAATATTTATAAATAAATATTTATTTATTTTGAGTAGTACTGAGATTGAACTCAGGGGCAGTCGGCCACTGAGCCACATCCCCAGCCCTATTTTCTATTTTATTTAGAGACAGGGTCTCACTAAGTTGCTTAGCACCTCCCTTTTGCTGAGGCTGGCTTTGAACACTCGATTCTTCTGCCTCAACCTCCTGAGCTGCTGGGATTACAGGTGTGCACCACTATGCCTGGTGTCTGTGAACTTTAGAACTTTAGTGCATCCCCTAGAACAATACTTATCAGTAGAAATGAAATGTAAGCCACATATGTATCTTGAAATTTTCTAGGGAGTGGTGAATTTTAAAAATAGGTGAATTAAGGTAAACAGGCAAAGAAAAGAAATAGATGTAAGGTGAGGAATATATTTTATTGGAAACAGTCTAAATGTCCATCTACTGATGACTGGATAAAGAAAATGTAGTATATACACACAATGTAATACTATTCATCCATAGAATGAAATTCTCATTTTCAGCAACATGGATGCAACTGGAGATTATTATGTTAAGTGAAATAAACCAGGCACAGAAAGATAAGTACTTCATGAATTCACTTATATGTGGAATGTTGATCTCATAGAAGTTTAGAGTATAATGGTGGTTATTAGAGACTGGGAGGGGAAAGGTGGTGGAAGCAATGGGGAAAGGTTGCTCAATGGGTAATAAGTTACAGTTAAATGGGAGCAGAAAGTTTTGGTGTGCTGATGCATAGGAGGGTGACTATAGGTAGCAATAATATACTGTGTGTTTCAAAAAGCCAGAAGAAAGGAATTTGAATGTTTTGTTTTGTTTGTACTGGAGATTGAAACCATGGGTGCTTGACCACTGAGCCACATCCCCAGCCCTTTTCATTTTTAATTTTGAAGCAGAGTCTCACTAAGTTCCTTAGGGCCTTGCTAAATTGCTGAGACTGGCTTTGAACTCATGATCCTTCTGCCTCAGCCTCACTAGCCACTGGGATTATAGGCATGTGCCACCATGCCCTGAAAGGAGTTTGAATATTTTCATCATAAAAAATGTTAGATATTTAACGCATATCTGTAATCCTAGCAGCTCAGAGGCTGAGGCAGGAGGATCATGAGTTCAAAGCCAGCCTCAGCAAAAGTGAGCTGCTAAGCAACTCAGTGAGACCCTGTCTCTAAATAAAATACAAAATAGGGCTGAAGATGTGATTCAGTGGCTGAGAGCCCCTGAGTTCAACCCCTGGTACTCAAAAAAAAAAAAAAAAAGTTAGATATTTAAAGTGATAGATATGTTTAATCTGATTTAAACATTACACAATATATACATTTATCAAAAATCACAATACCCCAGAAATGTTTATAAATTTGACTTTTATGTCAGTTTAAAATATTAAAAGACAAAATAAGGGGCTGTGGCTGGCTCAGCAGTAGAGCACTCACCTAGCACATACGAGGCCCTGGGTTCGATCCTCAGCACCACATAAAAATAAATAAATGAAATAAAGGTATTGTGTCCAACTACAACTAAAAAATAAATATTGAAAAAAAATAAATAATATATTTAATCTAATATGTCCAAAGATATTATTTTAACATATAATCAATATAAAAATTACTAATAAACCAGGTGGTTCACACCTTTAATCCCAGTGTCTCTGGAGGCTGAAACAGGAGGATCAATAGTTCAAAGCCAGCCTCAACAACAGCAAGGTGATAAGCAACTCAATGAGACCCTGTCTCTAAATAAAATACAAAATAGGGCTGGGGATGTGGCTCAGTGGTAGAGTGCCCCTGAGTTCAATCCCTAGTACCTTAAAAAAATTACTAATAAAATCTGCATTTTCTTTCATTATTAAATCTTACAAATCTCTGTATTTTACACTTATATAACACCTTTCAGTTTAGACTAACCACATGTAGTCAATGGCTACTATATTGGAACTTACAGTCCAATAATCTTTTAAGTGAGAAAATGATATGATCATATTTGCATTATAAAAGAATGAAGTAGAGTGAGACGGGGAAATAGGGAGATAGTTAATATAAAAGAGATAATGAGGACTTGATATTATGTGGGGGTGGGTTAGGAGGGCCACGAAATTAGATTTATTTAGGAACTATATACAGCTGATTGAAATATTAGCCTGTTTTGCTTCAGTGGACTTTACAGCCATTTGACTATTTGCTCCAGTGTTTTCTAAGCCCTTCAAGTTCAACCTAGCCAATAAATCCAGTATCTTCCCTGCTAACCTGATCCTTCACCAGTGGTTACCATTTCACTCCCTGGTCCTTCACACGTATAAGTTAGTGCTATGGAGTCCATCTTCGAAGTACCTCTCAACTCTACTTATCTCAGCCAGAAATCCCAATAGCATTTTGTACAATTTGTATGTAACATTCATCACACATTTGTGTCCCATCTTGTTTACCCTCTCCAGATTGTAAGATTCATGAGGGCAGGGACCTGTCTGATTTACAGCTATATCATCAGCACCTCATACAGGTCTAGCCTATGGTTGAAACTCTCATTGTGTTATGTGAATGCTTTAGCAGCCTTTTAACTTAAACATCTGGTTCTCACCTGCTTTGTGGAGAATTTAAGTCCAGTTATCTCTAGTGTAAGCAGGTTGCTTGGTGAAGTATAAAGACATGGGCTTGGAGTCAAGCAACCTGGGTTCAACTTTTGGTTGTTTTTATTAGCTCTGTAACCTCACATAAGTTATTTAATCTCTTGGCCTCAGTTTCCTTATCTATAAAATTGGAATAATAACAATATTACTTTCTAGGTTTTTTCAAGGATTGAGCCAATGAAATGATTTATATAAAACCAGTTTGATATTTGGTAAATATTCAATAAGAATTTATTAATGAGATAATATTTAATGTTCAAGCTTTTGTTAGCTGATTTTTTTATCTTCTTGTTGGCTGATTATAACAATGATTTTTATTAAGCTTGCTAGAGAATGAGATTGTTGATATGATCACTTGAGTAGTTATAATAGATTGAAATTTAATAAGATTTATAGCATATTCCAAACTGTTATAACACTTACCATTGATAAAATATCATCCTAATAATTGGTAAAACATTCATATTAACAACTAATATGCCTTTGGTCACGAATAAGAAAAAAGCCAGGCAAAGTGGTGCAGCTTTTTTATAATCCCAGCAGCTCAGGAGGCTAAGGCAGGAGGATCGTGAATTCAAAGCCAGACTCAGCAAAAGCAAGGTGCTAAGCAACTCAGTGAGACCTGTCTCTAAATAAAATACAAAATAGGCCTGGAGATGTGGCTCAGTGGCTGAGTGCCCCTGAGTTCAATCCCAGGTACCAAAAAAGAAAGGAATAAGAAAGAGCTATTGGAGTAAGAAGCTCTGTGGTTATATAACAACAAAGTCTCAAAAAGTATTCAAGATTAAAGGAAGTACATTTTTTATTTTCTAACTAAATCACAATAGCACATTTTCAGCAACAGAAATATTCTGTTCAGAGTGTATGTGTTTGTGTGTGTTGTGTTGTGTGTGTGTGTGTGTGTGTGTGTGTTTACTGTGGATTGAACCCAAAGGTGCTTTACAACTGAACTGCATTGCCCATCCCTTTTTTATTTTATTTTGATACAGAGTCTTGCTGAGTAACCCAAACTGGTCTTGAACTTATGAGCCTCCTACTTCAGCCTCCAATTAGCTGGAATTACAGGCATTCACTACTGGCCCAGCTGTTCAAAGTATTTTTTAAATTTCTGACTGTTATCACAGAGTGTAAGAAAGTAACACTGACTTATTGAGTGCCTGCTATATACATAACAATCTAACGTGTACCTTACGGGATAGAAAAGAAGTATAAAATGTGGTTTCTTTTTACTAGAATTTTATAGTTTAATGCCTGAGTCAAGAAAAATAATTTTTGAGTTAAACAAGATAGTGTTTAATGGGGAAGAGAGATGGGGGCAGGAAAGATGGTGGAATGAGATGGACATCATTACCCTAGGTACCTGTATTACTGCATATATGGTGTGACGCTACATCATGTACAACCAGAGAAATGAAAAGTTGTGCTGCAATTGTGTACAATGAATAAAAAATGAATTCTGCTGTCATATATACATAATTTAAATAAATAAATTTTTTAATATTTATTTTTCAGTTTTTCAGTGGACACAACATTTTTATTTTTATGTGGTGCTGAGGATGGAACCCAGCGCCCCCGTGCATGCCAGGCTTGAGCCACATCCCCAGCCCTAAATAATTTTTTTTTAAATATAGTATTTAATTGACTGCTAAAATCAAAGACTACCTTGAGATTATAGACTAGAGAGGTGACTGGACTTCTTGAAATTAAACTTTGGCAAGGCCATAATATAAGTATTGTTTTATTTTTGTTTCATGGCTCATTTTGTCATAGAAATGGAATGAGATGACTGTGGTGGGGCATACCCATAATCCCAGCAGCTCACTAGGATCATAAGTTCAAAGCCAGCCTCAGCAATTTAGCAAGGTCCTGAACAACTTAGCAAGACCCTGTCACAAAATTAAAAATTAAAAGGACTGGAGATGTGGCTCAGGGGTAAAGCCTGCTGGGGCTCAATCCCTAGTATATATAAATAAATAAGAAAAAAGAAATGAAAATTCATTATATAAAATATGAAAGCAAGCTTGTTTAAAAAGATTCTTTAGTATCTTTATTCATCTTATTTAGTTTTATGTGGTACTGAGGATCGAACCCAGTGCCTCACATGTGCGAGGCAAGCGCTCTGCCGCTGAGCTATAACCCCAGCCCCTGAAAGCAAGCTTTAAAGTCACATTGCAAAGTGCCTTTTCTGAATGTTGAAATTAACCATTGGTCTGCTCGCTTTTGTAGAGAAGCTGTGACGGAACCGGAGCTATGTACTTCATAGGATGTGGCTATAATGCCTTTCCTGTTGGATCTGAGTATGCTGACTTCCCACATATGGATGACAAGCAGAAAGACAGAGAAATAAGGAAATTCAGATACATCATACATGCTGAACAAAATGCCTTGACATTTAGGTAGGAAATTTTTTTATTGTGCCTTTAAAATGTAGCAAAGGTCAGTTGAAATAAGTTTTCTTTTAGTTGTGACTTATTTCCATTTTCAAATTCTAGAAAATCTTCTTTCCAGAAATATAGTTTTGGTAAAGATTGGTCCTGCTGGACCTGAGGCCATTTTGCCAGATTCTCCAGGCCTTCCAATTTATTGAGCAAGTCTTGTTTTTCTTCCCTCTCTCTAATAAGAAGTGACTTAAAATTTGTCCAAAATACAACCTCTTGTTTTCTAAATTTTGAGTACATAGATTTATGAATGTGTAGACTTTATGATGAACCAAATTGCTTTGAATAATGTTAGAAATAACAACTATCATCACCTCCTTTTAATGTTCATTTAGGTGATTTCCACAATCACTTGTCAGCTTTTACCATTAAGGGGGTGAGTTTAGGAGATTAAAAACTGAATAAGACATGGCCCGTCATTGGGGAGCTTCTAATGCAGTAAGCGTTAAGATCTAAGATGCATACACTTAATGCAATGGATTCTGTGGGAAAGGCAAACAGTGCACAAAGTGCTCTGGGGCTGCTATGGACAAAAACAGGGATGTAAGTGAAAAGCTGTGTGGAAGAAGTCGAGCTTCTTATTAGAGCTGAGCTCTGAATGATTGCCAGGAGATATTCCTTGAAAGGAAGACCTTTCTTGCTTCTAACACAAGGTACGGTCTAGAAGTGGAAAAATGCATTCCACATTTAGGAACATGCATATTCCTGTTAGGCTGGAGTGTGGGTTCATGGTAAATGCAGCTCACAGGATAAGCTGGGCCTGGACAACAGAGGACTTCAAGTTTAGACTCCACTTGGTAGGCAGTCGGGAAATGGAATTGCACTGACAGCCACAGTCCATAGACTGCTTAGGTGGCAGAAGCATCGTTTGAGCAGACTAAATGTGTAGAATTCTGTTGCCCTAGTCCAGATGAACAGAAATGAGTTGCAACTAGGGAGATGAATATGGAAGATGTATAATTGAAAACAGCTGGTTCAGAGCAATGTAAACCATAGAACCTAGAATTACAATCCCTGTGACCTCAGGTGAGAGCAGTCCTTGGTCCTAGACTACCCCCAGCATACAGTTTCACCAAAAATCTCCTCAAGTTTTTTTCCCTGTCCTCTTCATTACAGGTTACTTACTTCATTTTATAAGGAGGTCTGAAAATGACATAACCATTTTTTTTTTTGTACCAGGGATTAAGTGCCCAGGGACACTTATTCACTGAGCCACATCCTTAGCTCTTTTTATTTTTTATTTTGAGACATGGTATTGCTTGGTTACTTAGGGCCTTGCTAAATTGCTGAGGCTGACTTTGAACTCGAAATCCTCCTGCCTCAATCTACAAGCCACTAGGATTACAGGCATGCACCACACTGGGCTCCAAATGTTTTTTAAATAGAATTATCCTTTGATAGAGAAGGGGTAAGAGAACTATAACTCAAAACAGAAATTTAATATTAATTTATTTATTTAGTAAGTATTTACTAAGGGTCCTTTAGGTGCCAGTTAGGAATAGGGGGCTAGGTCTTTAAGCTGCCTTGATGATTTAATATTTAATAAATAATAGTTAGTTTTAACCCCAATTTCCATATTTTAAAGAGAAACCTATGTAGAAAACATGGTTTTCCTTTTTTTTTTTTGTAGTTCTGGGGATCAAACCCAGGGCCCCATGAGTGCTAGGCAACCACTCTATTGCTGAGCTACATCCTCCGCTTTCTTTTTTCTTTTTCTCTCTTTTTTTTTATCCTCTTTTTTCTCCATTCTATTCCCTCCCTTCCTCTCCTCCCTCCTTCTTTTTCTGTTTTTATTTATTTTATATTGAACACCTTGCCAACAGCTTAAATGAATTTAAGTTATAGTGATTGTCAGGTTTTTACAGATTTTGAACATTGATTGACTAATTTAACAAGAGTAAGGCTTGATTATTGTTTATAATGTGAATCTATTTTTAAAACAACTCAACATTAAAATTTAAGAATTTCTCTTTAAGATATAACTTATCCTTTCAGAAATTACCTTTGTAATAATCTGTAAATTTTTTTGTAGGTGTCAAAAAATAAAACCAGAAGAAAGAAGCATGATTTTTGTGACAAAATGCCCATGTGATGAATGTGTACCTTTAATTAAAGGTGCTGGCATAAAACAAATCTATGCAGGGGATGTAGATGTTGGAAAAAAGAAGGCAGACATCTCTTACATGAGGTTTGGGGAACTTGAGGGTGTTAGCAAATTTACCGTAAGTAGATAGATACACTTTTTCTTCAAACTGTATTTCCTGTTATGTTGTTTGATACCCTGTTGTGTATTGTAAATTAGTGATTTCTATCCTTTTAAAGAGTTTCAATAAATTATTATCATTAAGTTTATTTTTTTTTTAATTTTTTTTAGTTGTAGATTGACACAATACCTTTATTTTTTTATTTATATGCCATGTTGAGAATCAAACCTAGTGCCTCACATGCTAGGCAAGCGCTCTACCACTGAGGCACAACCTCAGCCCACTTTGAGTTTATTTTTTATATGCAAGCACTTACATACCAAAAAATGTTCACTAAGGATCTCTGCCATAAGAATTTTATAGTTCTGCAAGACACAATGGCATAGCCCTGTAATCTCAATGGCTCAGGAGGCTGAGGCTCCAGGATTGAGAGTTCAAAGCCAGCCTTAGCAACTCAGCAAGACCCTGTCTCTAAATAAATAAAAAAATACATATTTTAAAAGGGCTGGGAATCAGGCTCAGTGGTTAAGCATCCCTGGGTTCAATCCCTGGTACTAAAAATAAATAATTTTTTAAATGAAAAAAAAGAGAGAGAGAATTTTACATTTCTGTAGAGTTGTAAATTGACCTAGAGTTAGCTTGAGGCAGGGAAACCTCTGGTGCCATCATGTGGCTAATAGAAAAGCTCTGACTCACTTCTTCCCTCACCTGTTTCAGCTTGGAGTGGTAGATAGAGGTGAAAGTAGTTGAAGATTATCCAAAAGACAGGAAGATGCATGCTCTTGTACACACACACACACACACACACACACACACACACACGTTCCTCATGAGAAAAAGTGCTAACAAAAAGTTACAAAAGCTCTACAAAGAAAAATTTTCCCCAGAAGTTGCTGACCTGCCAAATCATTCTGTTTCTTCAAACAAGGAATAATCACAGAACCACAAAAACCAGGAAATTAGCATTGATATATTACTGCTGTTAATCTATACATTCATCAAGATTTACTGATTGTTCTAAGAATGTTCTTTTTTTTTTTTTTTTTTTTTTTGCATTGGGGACTGAACCGAAAGGCACTCTACCACTGAACTAAATCCCAATCCCTTTTCATTTTTTGAGACAAGGTCTTGCTAAATTGCCCAGGCTGACCTTGAACTTGTGATACTTAGCCTTCTGAGTCACTGAGATTACAGGTGGCCAGGGATATAGTGTGATGGTAGGGTGCTTGCCTAGCCGTGTGAGGCCCTGGATTAGATTCCCTGTATCACAGAAACAAAACCAAAAACAAACAAACAAACAAACTTATTCAATAATGTTTTACATAGCAAAAGAATCATGTCCTGAATAATAACATATTGCTTTTTATGACATCTAATGATTTAATCGTGGCATTTAATATAACATTTATATACTAGAATTCATGGATATAAAAAGCATAAAATAGAACTGTTTATAATTTTGAACTTTACATTCCTGTTATGTACATCAGTTTCAGTCCAGGGTGCTTGGAACATAAATGTATTCTCTGTGTGTACATATGTATATATGTGTGTTTATATACATGTATATATGTATGTACATACATGCACATACACTTTAAGCATAGGAAAATACTACCTAGTTTCTGTATGTATATGAAGTGTCAAATGTTTACCATTTTTTATTTTTAATTATTTTATTTAAAGCCTAATAGTTTTAAAACATAGTGCCGCCTGGTGCAGTGGTGCATACCTGTAATCCCAGCGGCTCAGGAGGCTGGGGCAGGAGGATATGAGTTCAAAGCCAGCCTCAGCAAGGTGCTAAGCAACTCAGTGAGACCCTGTCTCTAGATAAAATACAAAATAGGGCTGGGAATGTGGCTCTGTGGTTAAGTGCCTTTGAGTTCAATCCCTTGTACCCTCCCACAAAAGAAAAAGAAAACAGCAGTGCCATGCCAAAAAAAAGAGAGATGAGAAGTGCTTGTCTTGTAAATAAAAACCTATGTCCAGTCGGTCAAAGAAATCCCCAGTTCTGATTGATTGATTGATTGTCTCTTTATTCCTCCTGGAGAGGTAAAGAAATGGGTTTTTTCAAATTTTCTTCATAAAGATTAAGTGACCTTGCTCTTCAGGACTGTGAGTGTTGGCTTATAGCAAACTCTGGAATATCTTGGTTACTGGTAGATTTTAGTAGATTTTGAATTGTAAAGAGAAAGGAGAGATCAAAAGGGCAATGGAGGAATAACTCAGAAAAGAAAGACAAAGGGAAGCCCAGGGGCAGAGCTGAGAAACCCAACAGAACTGGGAACTCCCACCCAAGAGGTCCCTTGCTCAGGTACACATTCCAGAGAATAAAGAAACTCACAGTTTTTCTCTGTTCTCTTCATGAAGAGTAACTCTCCACTCCCTTATCCTTTCCTTATCTGTGCATAACTGGTTAGCTATACACCTAATTTTGAAAATACCAGTAATTAACATGAACTAGTATTTGTTCTAAATTTGAATTTCAATAATTTGATTTGCTCAACTGTCAAAAGTATGATGTGTCAATAAATTTGATACTTGTTTTAAGATTAAAGTAAATTAATTTTTATTTGAAACATATTTGCTTGTCTTTTTGAAATGTAACCATATACCTTGAGATAAGTTGTTTTATTCTATGTTGTTGTCAAAAAAGCAGGTTAGAGCTGGGTAAAACTCTTCTCCAGAATAGATTTTATATAGTGTACATTCATGTGCTGTTATTCAAAAAAATTTTTTTCTTGTCTAATGAAGGTGAGTTTTTCTTTATTAAGATGTATTACTTTTTTATTATGAAATATATGCTCATTGTAGAAAGTAGCAAAATAAAAAAGAACATGTATTATTCCTTAACTCATAGATATCACTGTCAACATTACTGTATTTTCTATGTTAAAAATTCCTCAGAAATTATTTTTTGACAATTTATACAATCTTCCAAACCTAGAGACCTAATTTATTTAATCATTCCCCTGTTGTTGGATAGCTAGAGTATTTCTAAGTCTTTACAATTATAAAGAAACTTTTCATGAATATTCTTAAGTGTAAATTAGAATTATTGGTTTTTACTTTCTCTGCCCAAATAAATAAATAGGTTTTAGTGGTTTAACATGTTTCAAAACATAACTCTTTTTTCCCCCCTTACATAACTTACCACCCCTTGTAAATTCTCTCTTTCTTGGCGCTAATTCTAGGCATCTCATCTCTATAAGTGACCAAAAGTCTAAGGACTTTTAATGCATGGTAAAATGTTTGTCTTGTATCTCATCCCCCCTCAAGGCTCAAGATGTTAACTAGTTAATCTGATGAACTAAGTGATGCTTATGAAAGAGGCTCCCAGGTAATTCACACTTTACAGAGACAGTGGCCCAGCAGGGCTTTTTGGTTAAGTCATTAGTGATTCGATGGAGATTCCAATTAGGCAAGAAAGGAAGGAAGAGCTGTCCTAGAGATAACGATTACATTCCATTTTCTTTTCTACTATTTCAGTCTTCTCTGAAATATTCAGAATCTTCAATCTTCCCTATTTCTTTCTGAGTGGTTGAGATAGAATACTACAACCAGAGGAGATGAATGATATCTGATATTATATATGATAGAAAATAAATAATAGTTTATATGATCTAACTATATTAAAAGGCAAGGTAAAATTGGCCATATTGTTAGCCTTTAATACCTAGGTCTTCTCTACCTATTATAAGACTTAGTAGGTCCTAGAGAAATTATATAATGTAGAAATTCCATGGTTCTGGGCCTTGGGCAGGCCTAGGTCTAATCCCATCACTGCCTTTAGCTATTTTGTAACCTGAGACAGATCACAGCAATTCTCTAATCTCCCCCTGTCTTACTTAGAAATTACTATAAAGTATCTTCTCTAAGAGTATTGATTCTGACCCCAGAAGTCATCCCATTGAGCATCACTCAGGTGGTATTGTTAGGACTTTGTTGATATGGACATGCTAACTCCTTTTTCTTGTATTTTTATCAAGTTGTTTTGATATTTAAAAGCAGAGTGCTGAAATGCTCTTTATTAAGTCATTTTTAAACATACAAATAAAGTGTTTGTACCCTCTTACAGTGGCAGCTGAATCCATCTGCAGCTTATGATCTTGAACAAAACGAGCCTGAAAGGAAAGAAAGTAAGTATCTCAAGTCCTCTGTGGAGGCTAACTACTAGAGGCCAGCTGCTGAGGAAAATGGGCACTTGGTGAATGTCAAAGGTCAAGTGACGGAGTTGTTTTGATAATAGATGGATCATATTCTTTATACAGGTTAGATGTTTGTCTTTCAATTTGTTCAAAAACATTTGCATATCTACTATATGCAAGATGCTGGGGAAAGTACCTATCAATAATTATTCCTGTAGATTCTGCAGTTTAATACAAATAATCATGACAAATTGAATTTATAAATTTATATGAAACAGTAAAGAACAATTCTTGTTTATACCAAAACAAAGGCTTCTTGGGTGTGAGAAATGAAAAATATATATAATTAGTGCAAATGGATCTAGGAAGAAATGATGAGGACACCGGTACTTATATATCCTTCTAGAGTAAAGCCACAGGTGCTCAGGTTGGTCAGAGAATGGACATGTTCTGTTATTTTAATAATCTGATTAAGAATCATCAGAGATACCATAAGTAAATTACTAGTCTTAAAAGTTTTCGGATTCCACCTCTTGGGTCCCCTTCTTCCTCCAGCAGGCAGAAGTCTTGGGCTGGGGATGTGGCTCAAGCGGTAGCAGGCTCACCTGGCATGCGTGCGGCCCGGGTTCGATCCTCAGCACCACATACAAACAAAAGATGTTGTGTCCGCCGAAAACTAAAAAATAAATATTAAAATTCTAAAAAAAAAAAAAAGTTTTGTCATTTGCACACTAACACAATTATTTTGATAATAGTAATATAATCTTTAGGAGATCCAATTTAAAAATAGTAGCTGTGTTATAATTGTAGAGTCTAGATAAATGGAAGTGTACTATAAATTTTCTTGATAACAATGGATTGATTACCCTGAAATATTAAGAAATATGAAGGTCTCTACGAAAATATGAATGTTTTGATTTTCTGTGATCTGAATTAGCTTTATTTTATTCAGACAGTAAATTTATTATTGGCAATCTGAAAAAATACATATTCACTGTTTTTTCTTTTTAAAAAAATTATCAAGAAAAAAAGTAGTGGAAAAAGAAAGGAAAATATAACTAATTAAAGATAGTATTTTTAATGACACTGTTTGAAGCTCAATTAAAAATTTCCTAAGGTAGGAAAAGGAAACAGAAAGATGAACTATATTGTCTGTGTTAAAAGCATCTTTTCATCAGAAGAGGCCATCCACGGCATGAAATAGAAAGTATTTACTACTTAGAGTCAATGATAGGCCTTATCCAGGATAAAAGTCCTGAGATTGGAAGGAGGGGACAGAAGAAGGCATCTGGTTCACTGGCAATGTTTTATTTATTGACGTAGATAATGGCTAAATGTATGTTTACTTTTTGACAGTTCATTAACTGTATGTTTATGTTTTCATGCATTTTTGAACAAGTGTTTTATGTTAGTAAATAATATCCTTATCGCCTTTTCAATTATATAGCAGCTTTATTAAGATATTCATATATCAAAAATTCACCCCTTTTAGAGTCTAGAATTCTGTCGATTTTACTATGTTCAGAATTATGCAGCCATCACCACAACCCAATTTCACAAAATTTTCATTGACTTAAAAAGAAACCTTGTACTCTTTTCAGTCGCTCTCCCCCAGCCCTAGGCAACCACTGGTCTACTTTAAGTTTTTATGGATTAATCTAGTCTGGCCATTTCATATAAATGGAATCATACAGCATGTAGCTCCTTTACAGTTTTTCATTCTGTCGAGAAGCAGACATAAGAATCAAACAGATGAAAGTTGAAATCCCAGCTTTATTGCTGGGCTGAAGCTTGACCTTTGGCCAAATCAATGTGTCGCGCTCTGGGAGGCAGTGGGGGTTGCTGCCTCACGTCCTCTCAAGGCCAGCACCAGGAATGGAAGCCGAAGGCAGGTAGCAGTGCGATGGACTGCTGGCTCTCAGGCGTCCTCCCCGCTAGAGAGCTGGAACCCAAATAACACAACTCAGGCTTTCTTTGCAAAGAATTGTTGGGCTTTCAAGGAAATGAAGGAACTATCCAGGAACGCATACTCCCTTCCAAAAATAAATAAGTAATAAAGAGAGATAAAAGGAATATTTGCCCGAACATAAAAAGCAACAGTAAGCAAACACAGAAGCCAATGTCCATAGCAGCTGGGCTCTTGAGAGGAAGTGGGGGGTCTGCTGCAAGATTGCAAACTGAACCTCAGATTCCGACATTAAGCTGGGAGTCCTCAAAGGAAGCTAAAAGACCCCCTCTCAGCGGCACCTCCTAACTGCTGGCAGAAGCAAATGCAGATTCTGTCAGAAGGAAAACCTTCCCAGCTGAGGCCCACAGGGTATAATGAGTCCATTAGTTCATTACTGAAAAGTCAACAAATAGAAGATATATCCCCATGAGCGAGACTGAACAGAAATGGCAAACAGCATAGTGAGACTCCTGAGGACTTCCTGTTCTGGTGTTATCAACTAGACAGTATAAAATGCTTAAGAAGTAAAATATACTTTTTGAAAAGACAATCTAAAATAAACAAGCCATTAAAAAAAAATCAAATCTGAGCTGGGTGTGGTAGTGCTTGCCTGTAATTCCAGAGACTCCTGAGCCAGGAGGATCACAAGTTCAAAGTCAGCCTCAGCAACTTATTGAGGCCCTAAAAAATTTAGTAATACTCTGTCTCAACATAAAACTCTTTTAAAGGACTGGGCATGTGACTGAGTGGTTAAGTGCTCCTGTGTTCAATCCCTAACATTTAAAAAAAAAAAAAATGTTTAGTACAGAGTGGATAATTTTGAAAAGAATCTGATAGAATTTGAAGGAAAAAAAATCCAGACAGCCATATTATATAGTTACTTTAATTTTTTTTTTTTTTTTTGTAGTTGTAAACAGAACACCTTTATTTGTTTATTTTTATGTGGTGCTGAGGATCAAACCCAGTGCTTCACACATGCCAGGCAAGTGCTCTGCCACTGAGCTACAGCCCCAACCCCCTAGATAAGTACTTTTATTAATGCTGTTACATAGATAAGGAACCAAGACTTACAGAGATCAAGGCTCTAAACCACCAGAACTGAAATTTGAGGCCAGGTTTTGGGTTCTAGAAAGTGCATCTTATACATTGCTTTTTGTTAATAACTATCTGGTCTGGCCCCTTTGTTAGAAGTGGTTAGAGGATCAGAGAGGGCAGAGTGACTTGTGCAAGGTCAGTTCCTGACAGGTCCAGTTTTCCAAGATTTTCAGTGTTCTTTCTAACAGGTTGCCCTAGTGTAATCTAGAATTTAAAGAAAAGGCAGTTCAAGAATGGGCACTTGCTATAAGTTGAGAGGCTTGTTTTTTTTCTTCCATTACTTGCTTTGAGTCCCATTTTACAGGCATTATAATCTTTGGGACCAATATAGTACTTTCATGGATATGTCTTGGCATAAAGTGTCAGGGGAAAGAGAGAGAAACCCTGAAATTGAAGGTAAAGTGCACTTGCTAAGTTCCTGGTGATATTTTACATGGAGAGCATTTTATGAAACATGTCTACCAGAGTCATCTCATGGAATCCTCTCATGCTTTGGGGAAGCATCCTCATTTCCTAGGGATGCTGATAATACCTTCTTGTGGATTATTGCAATTTATCTCTGCAATAACCCTCTATGATAGATGTTATTATCTTCATTAGGCAAATAAAGAAGCTGAAGCTCCTTGAAGTGAAGTAACTAGACCAAAGATCTACAGCCCATGAGTGGTAAAGCCAGAATTCAAAGCTCAGTAGTCTATTTCTAGAATCTATGCTTTTCTGCTTTGTCATACCACCACTTTAAACCAGGAAGAAGAATCATAAATGTCTACCTTGGTGAGGAGAAGTGTCCAGGAAGTGTGTGAAGTGTGTCTTGGTGTGTTGCGATCATGGGAGTCAACCAAACCACAGAATGTAGAACCAGTGGTGGAAACCACAGCGACACACATCGCGGCTTGACAAAGAGAAAAACTCTCAGTGATAGTCTGAATTGTCCAGAATTGTCCTCCCTCATAAGGCAGTAAGCTCCCTGTCACCATGGAGGTGGGAGCACAAGATGTCACAGGAGGAATATTGATGGGTAGCCTCCCTCCATGTAATGCTTTGATTGAGGTGGCATTTAGGAGGCAAGCATCTCTCTCCCAAGGGATGTTTGTAAAGAGACTAGAGATATTTCACTTGCACAGAAAGGAGTTTGGGGAAGAAAGAATCCATGTTACCGTGGTCCAAGAAACTACATCAGGACCTTCTCTGGTTCTCTTAACTGGAAAAGATCTCTCTCCTGCACATTCCTATATCATGTTATACTTAGACTTCTCTTATAACACTGAAAAAAAGTACAGTTGTTAAAAAGTCAGTGGATGAGTTAAGCCACTATTTACTAAAGGGCACACTGTTGGTATTTTGATTGATAAAGCTTTCTAGTGTGGGGCATTGCCCCATGGATTATGGGACATTTAGCATCCCTAACAGAGCGGGCCATGCAAATCACAGGCACAATGATAAACTATTTAATATGTAGTGCTGGAAAATGGTTAATGCATGTAGAAAAACTGATAATGAATTTTTACCTCACATAATACTCAAAATTCCATATGAATTAAAGAAACAAAGCAAATTTCAAGTTTTAGAAGAAAATACAGAATTTTTTATGACCTGAAATAGGAAGAACAACTTATGCAGAATACAAATAATGCTGACTATAAAAGAAAAACTTGACAAATTATAGAATACATTCCAGGTAAGGGCTTATCTTCTCCAAAAGACATTATAAAGAAAGTGAAAGGGGGCTGGGGTTGTGGCTCAGCGGTACAGTACTTTCGAGGTCCTGGTTTCGATCCTCAGCACCACATAAGATTAAATAAATAAAAAAGAAAGAAATTGAAAGGACCAGTCATCCCCTGGAAGAACAGATTTTCCACTAACGTAAAAAAATTCTAACTGATAAGGATAAAAATTAATAGAAAAATGTTACTTTTTGGTATTTACATCAGCAGAAATGTAAATGTCTGATAAACATATGAAAGATGATCATACTCAGTAGTGGTCAGAGAAAGGCCAATTAACATCACATTGAAGCAATGTTTTTATACCTATTGGATTTATACAATTCAAATTTGCCAATACCAACTGCTAGTGAGGATGTGGATTATTAGAAATTTTTATATGTTGCTAGGGAGATTGAAAGTTTTACAGCCACCTTGGAAAATAATTAGACATTATCTTTGTAAAGCTGAACATGCATGTACTCCATGACCCAGTAATTTCAACTTCTAAGAAATCTTGCATCTTGTATAAAAGACCAAAATATAACAAATTCATTGTAATGTTATTCTTAAAAACAAAAACTGAAAATGACAGATATTTAGCTTGTGAGATTACATTTAAAATATAGTATATTCTCACAATGAACTAAACATAACAGTGAAAATAAGTGAACTGTTGCTACATTCTTTGACACAGGTGAATCTCAAAAAGATAAATGTTGAACAAAAAAATACAGAAGACTATCTTTTTAATTTCTGTATAAAGTTTAAAAAGAAAGCAAATAGCATATTGTTTAATGTATGTGGTAAAATTGTTTTTAAGAAACAATAGAAAGATAAACACAAAATTCAAGATAGTGGTTACATCTGAATGGGGAGAGGGGATGAGAAGAGAGAAGGAAGGCAACTGATAATGTTGTAGCCATTATTTGGGACAGTAGCGTTTAATTTTTTCTCTTCTATGCAAACAGTTACTGCAAATTTAAGCAAGATAATTATTTGGAGCAGTAGGTTCTTAAGTGTTTATTTTATTATTGGGCTTTAGACCTTCCTTCTGTATTACATATATTCTCTTTTTTTATGTTTCAAATATTACATAAAAAGACAATTGAGAGAGGGGGGCTTCCAGATCCACTCTGGAAGGCAAGCCAGAACCAGTTGTCCTTGGGACTGGGAAACAGCAGAGTGGAACACACCGGCTTGGAGGGCAGGCAGATACCTCAAGAGCACAGAAGCAAAGGGCAGGAGGAGACTTGCAGGTGACGGGTGTATTCATTGACTTGACTGTGGTGGCGGTTTCATAGATGTGTACCATGTCAAACTCATCAAACTGAACACTGTAAATATGCTCAGTTTATTGTATACTTTAAACACATAAGAGGTTTTTTGGTACCAACAAAGCTAGTAAAAAGAAAATCCAGGAAGGTGTTAAGGCAGGCTCTTCTCCCAGCCTGCCCTATTGGATAAGGCCACTTTCCGTACTTAGAGGAATAGGAGTGGGAGAGTCCCCCTGTACTCCCTGCCCCACAGGTGCTGCCATCCTCTCTCTGGAGGATAAGTAAGTGCATTAATTTTCGAGGTCCTGATTTTGATCCTCAGCACCACATAAGATTAAATAAATAAGAAAGAAAGTGAAAGGACCAGTCATCCCCTGGAAGAACAGATTTTCTACTAACGTAAAAAAAAAAGAAAACTTTGATACCAGTGTAATCACCAACAGGGATTGATTTCTGTTTCTTCCAGCCTAATAATAGTGCCTTTCCCCCAAAAAAAGTTGTATTTAGTATTTGCCGTATACTGTGGAGTGAATCCAGTTTTTTAAAAATCACCAGACATTGTATTACCTTTGAGTTATCTAGATTCAGTATTGATTGGAGAAATAAACATTTAAGTGGAATATTGAAGCAGTTGAGAATTTGAAGGTAAAGTAAAATGAATGGTCCTTTACCTGAAGCATTGTTTTGCTCTTCCAACCTGTGTGCCTGCAGCAAGTCCCCATGAGTTTGAAGTGATGTTTTCTGACATGAAGTTGTTCTTGCATGATAGACGGTGTGTTGAGAGCCCTGCCTGGGAGTGAGGAGCAGCACCGCAAGAAGCTATGTCTGGGAAAGCCTTCGGAGGGCCTCTCCACGCTGCAGTGACGGCCTCAGGAGTTGGTTGTTGCACCTCTAAAGTTCAGCCTTGTTAACTCAGAAAATGAGGATGGATTTCGTGAACCATTGAAAAGTTTGTTAGGATAAGAATTATGTTGACGAGGACATTTTTATTTTAGACTTATTTGTGTATTTTTCAGAATATGGCAATGTGTTTAATGCTTTAATGAGATCAGTGTCATCACCAACAGGGATGGATTTCTGTTTATCTCAGTTTCTATTTATACAGCCAATTTGAAAGGGGCTGGCTCACTGGAGTCATATCTCAACAGGGAATTACATATCTTTTGAGAAATATTAATTCCTTTGGATTACAAGGGTGAGAATTAGTAAATTGTCCAGGGAAATAAGTGACAATCTGTTCATATTTTAAGAATCCATGTATAGATAACCAGAAGGGTCATGTTTATACCTAAAATCATTCTAGCATTCAAAAATTACTGAATTGGGACTGTCTTAAAGTCTCCATTTTGAAACTATATTTTTAAAATTAGTAATCTCTTGGGCTGGAGGTCTAGCTCAGTGGTAAAGTACTAGCCAGCATGTACGAAGCCCTGTGTTACATTCCCAGCACTGCAAAAGTAAATAAATAAATAAGATGTTAATTTCTCCTAAATTTTTATTTCACAGTGATTGTTGGACTAGAGGCCAGTTACACTACAATTTTGGGTAGCAATAGAAAGAAAATGTTATTCTGAGGCAGTGTTGCTGTTTGATGTCAGTAAATCTTGAGATTACTGGCAGTAAGTCTCAAATTTGGTCATTATGTAAATAGAAAAATATGTGAATGTGGGATATTGAAACCAGCATTTTTAGAATTCCATTAATAAATGCTTTCCTCAATATAATTTTCCCCTCCATATGACCAATACAGTGTCTAACTGCAAAAGGGAGGCCTGCTAGGAATATTTGCAAACCTCAAGAGCACTCAAAGCCTTAAAAGTAAACACATCCCTTCTGAATTTTTCTCTCTGATTTCTTTTTTCGCAGTGCTGAGGATTTACTCCAGGGCCTTGAACATGCTCGGCATGTACTCTACCATTGAGTCAGGTCCCCCCCCCCCTTTTTTTTTTAGTTCTCGGTGGACACAACATCTTTATTTTATTTGTATGTGGTGCTGAGGATCAAACCCAGCACCCCACGCATGCCAGGCGAGCACGCTACCGCTTGAGCCACATCCCCAGTCCCTCCCCAGCCCCTTTTTAAATTTTATTTTGAGACAGTATCTGGCTAAGTTGCCCAGGCTGGCCTTAAACTTGTAATCCTCCTGCCTCAGCCTCCCAAGTAGCAGGGATTATAGGTGTCAATGTACCTGGCTGATTTCTTCAATTTTTATTTGCTGAGAAACTCAGAAAATTAGTCTGAAGAATCATCATGTTTTAGACTTTCCTGGTTAGGAGGAAGGCCAACAGGCCTGGGGAGTGATACTTCATGAGAATGCTCGAGGACTGGGAAGAGGTGGTGAGATTTGCCCTTTTTTGTCCCCCTCCTTTCCACAGCATCACGTGGGGCCTCCTACCACTTTTTCAGAGTTAGGCACAGGACAATCCAAATGTCAACCAGATGCCTGGCTTGCACAGCAGCCTGCTTAGGTCCACTGGGAATTCAAAGTCATCATACCACACAGTTGAGAACTGCCAAAAACATTTTCCATAGACATAGATCATGGAAGATGGAGTGTGTGTGTATGTGTGGGGGGTACCTTTAAAGACAACTAATGCTAATTTGAAAAACACTAGTTAAGCTATTCTTTAATACTTATCAACATAAAAACTCCATTTAATCCCTAGCACCACAAGAAAAAAAAATTCTAAGATTGCTCATCTCCCAAATTGCTTTATTATTGTAATACAAGCATAAGTTCTTTGATTTATTGTTTTATACTTCTAGTTCATCTGATACACCAATCAACAAATATTTTGTGAGACTCAGAAGTCAAATATAGGGCTGGGATGTGGCTCAAGCGGTAGCGTGCTCGCCTGGCATGCGTGCGGCCGCGGTTCGGTCCTCAGCACCACATACAAACAAAGATGTTGTGTCTGCCAAAAACTAATGAATAAATAAATAAATAAATATTTAAAAAAAAAAAAAAAAAAGAAGTCAAATATATACTGCTAGAGTTATGGATTTTTGTATTGGGGTGGGATATCAGAAAGGAAAGTATATAATCAGGAAACTATGGAAATAAAACATTGATATTTCATGGAAAGAGCCTTGTAGAGGTCACAGTGCTGAGCTGTTTCATTATCCAAACACCAGGGTTGAGGTGAACTGAGAGAAAGCAGAGGAGGTGGAGATTACTCTGTGAGGGGATGATTGGGTTGCCCCCAAGCATTGCAGAGCTGGACCCAGAACCCACCTGGGTTTGCAAAAACTATATGTGGCAGTGTTGACTCAGTTCTGCAAATTCCCAGGCAAGAGATTTCATCCCTTAGCAAGATGAAGAAGGTAATGGTAAATTCATACTTAGTAAAGAATAGCCCTGCTGGAGGTAGCTAAGCACTCACCTGGTTTACTTCATGTCTGTAATGGGAGTAGATACAGGTTTATGTGTTTTTATTGTATTACTGGTAAAACTTTTTTAATCTGGCTTTTCTATTTTTTCTACCTCAACTTACTGAGTTTGAAAATATGCCATTTACTCATAAGGCTTCCTCTTTTGAATGGGTCCGTCCTAGGATTGATCATAACAACCTACTTTTGACACACTTTCGAGTATTCCTTAAGAGTCCTGGTATTGCCTGTAATGGTCACATGACAATGAGCTGAGCACATTGCTAGTATGTTTTAGAACTAAAGTAAACATCAATGCAGTATTTTTATTTCATGTGTAACATCCCTGAAGTCTTGTTGCTCTTTTGCTATCATTATTATAAAATATTTCAGATACATAAAAAAATACAAATAGTTATAACAAATACTTTACTCATGTACCTAATATGCAGAATTAATATATGTTACCACTTGGGAGTTTAGTCCTGTTTTGAGATCTGAGGTAGAACCTTTCTTTGCATCTTTTCTACATTTGCTTGAGAGCACATTGTGGTTTTCTGAAAGATCATCCATGCTCACTGCAGGGCAGCAGGGTTTTAAAATCCAGCCCTAGAGCCTCCAAGGACTGTTACCTAGACAGCTGAGATTAAGCCTCCTTTTTTAAAAATTTTTTTAAGTTGTCAATGGACCTTTATTTGGTTTTATTTATATGTGGTGCTGAGAATTGAATCCAGTGCCTCACACATACTAGGCAAGCACTGTACCATTGAGCTATGACCCCAGCCCCTAAGCCTCCTTTTAAAACATTCTTTGTAGTCTTTCTGTATCTGATTTCTTAATTCTCTAATAATTCTGTGATAGTTTTCCTAAGAGGAAACCAGCTGCCCTTATGTGACGTAGGGGAGGTCTGCTGGGCCAAGGTTTTCTGACTCCTCTGGTGGAGCAGACCCCCTACCAGGTACGCCTGGCCTGCAGCAGAACCTGGTGGCAGAAGTGTCCTCACTTGGGATGGGGAGATCTGCCTTACCACCTGGGAAGGAGATTCTGAGTTACAGCCCCTGAAATGCAGGCTTCCTGTTTCTGGCTAACATTTAGATGTTTGGAATCATTTATTTATTCAACTCCTGGGCACCCTACGCTAGGCTCTCAGCTTGAAATGCTTTGGATACTTTTTGAAACAGAAAAAATATAAATCTTAATTCACAAAATGGAATTTTGAAAAGTTTGATTCATCCATTAATAGACTACTCTGAAAAAAATTTTGCTGAAGTTTACACAAAGCAATGAGTTATTCAGAAATTTTTCTCAATTTTGAAACCTTTTATTGATATCCTGGAATTGTTGTGTTGGCTCTGCTACAGTTTTGTTTTTATAACACAAGGAAATCAAGTTGGACCAGGGTTTCTCAGACTTGGCACAATTGACACTTGGGATTCTGATATTCTGTGAAGCTGCTCTGTGCATTTTAGAATGTTAGCCACATCCCTGGCCCCCAGTGAAAACCACTAACATAAAAAAGTTTGTACATAACTGCAAAAACCCATGTTAGGCCTAAGAACATCTCATTTAGTATAACAATTGCACTGGGGGCTTTTTACAATCAGGTATCAAAATCTGAGGATGACCAATTCCTCAGAATCATCTTTTAAAAGTCTTTTTAAAAATTGTGTTTATGCTGGGCACAGTGATACATGTCTGTAATCCTAGCAGCTTGGGTGTTGAGGCAGGAGAATTGTAACTTAGCAAGGCTGCAGGCAAACTAGTGAGACCCTGTCTCAAATTAAAATATAAAAAGGGCTGGGGATGTGGCTCAGTGGTTAAGCACTTTTGCGTTCAATCCCCAGTACAAAAATACACACCCATATATATGTGTGTGTGTGTATATATATATATATTTATTACAGAGTAGGTAAAAAATAGTTTGCATTTTTCTCCAATTTTTGCTTTTGTTCCCCTTTCAGTACCAAGGATTGAATGCAGGGCCTCGCACCTACTAGTCAAGTACTCCACCACTCAACCACATCCCGACTCCAATTTTTAAAATTTTTTTTATAGTTGTAGATGGACAGAATGCCTTTATTTTGTTTATTTTTATGTAGTGCTGAGGATTGAACCCAGCACCTCACACATGCTAGCAAGCACTCTGCCACTGAGCTATAGCCACAGCCCCAATGGTTTTTTTTTTTTTTTTTTGGTGGGAGGTGTCCGGGTGTTTAGCCCCTCCTGACCTGCTGGAGAGATTGGGGAGAGCGCCCCGGCCAGGATGAGCCAAGAAAGGAGAGGGCCGACTGACAGCCCCCACCCAGCCCTCCCTCCTGGAGGACAATCAGATGCATCAAGGAGACCAGTCAAGGCTGGAGCTCGTTTATTGAGGAAGCACACACAGCAGCTAATATAAGGCACAGGAGCCAATCAGGATAAAGGTCAGCAGGGTGAGGAGAGTTCACGTGTACACCCATCCTACAGGCAGGCAGGGGAGACACGAGCTGTCCACCTGTCCACGAGGGCGGAAGGGTTCTGAGCATATCCTAGAGGTGGTCCGATTTTTCTTCACAACCCAGGCAACGCCTTCTGGCTGATCGCCAGGTGCCGTCTTTGCCATGTGCGGCCCCAAGACCAGGAAGTGAGCATCAGTCTGCAAGTTAGGTTTCCTTTTCTCCATCATAGGTTTCTATTTCTCTGATGTGACGTGCCCTACACGAGGTACCAGGGATTGAACTCAGGGACACTCAACAACTGAGCCACCTCCCCACCCCTATTTTTTTAAATATTTATTTTATTTATTTTTATGTGGTGCTGAGAATTGAACCCTCGCATATGTGCAACTCCAGCCCCCCCCACTCCTATTTTTTGTATTTTATTTAGACACAGTGACTCACTGAGTTGCTTAGCACCTTGCTTTTGCTGAGGCTGGCTTTGAACTCACCAACCTTTTGCCTCAGCCTCCAGAGCAGCTGGGATTACAGGCATGCGCCTCCAAGCCTGGCCCCAGACCCCAATTTTAAATTAGGAGGGAAGTAGTAAAACCTTAGTTTCTGTCTTGTTTTGCTTGTTTTCCAAGTTACCGATGTATATGAATAATCCAGACAATTTTGCAAACACTCCTAAACTGCAATAATTTTT